TTCCCGAACCACTCACAGAGGACTTCCTTACAGGTCAGTAAGAGCTCTGGGCATGACCTAAGCATTGATCAGTAAGTACCTAGGACATGCACTTTAGGTAGTCACTAACACATTTTAAAAGAGGCATAAAAACTCTCATTTTTATCTGTTGTATAGCCCCGTGAAGTTTTGGGAAAAAAGAGGACCCCTAATGGACTGATGGCAGTTCTGAGAGCACACACTCAACTCCTCTATTGTCCTAAGAGAAGCTTCACTGTACTTTTAGGGGTAGGGGCAAGAGAAATCCCAGGTGCTGTCCTAGGCCATGCACGACATGGAATTTCTCATGACCAGTTCTCCCCAGTGCTTTATGTGAGAACACTGGTTGATGCTGCATTTTCTCACGATCTCGGTCCTCGCCTCGCAGACAGTCTTGGAATGTGGGATATGGATCCAGATGCAAGCGACAGTGATGTCAAGTCCTTGTCTAAAGCAGAACTGCTCCAGACCTCTGCTACACCAGTCCTGAAGAACCAGATGGTAACCTGGGACAGGACCCCACAGAACCTCTGTCACCAGAATCCACAAGCAAAATCTGGACTCTCGCACCTCCAGACTCACAACAGCAACCGAGATGTAACAGGTAGCGAAGTGTTTAGGAACAAAAATTGAAAGAACTTGGGTTTAATTCTCTGCATTTTAAAGGAAGCATGACATTCCATTTGAAGAAGTTGGGTGCTATCGTGCCAGAGGAACAGCAGTCCAAGAAAATGACAACTGGTTTATGAGCCACAGCTTTTCCTTTGAGGTCCTGACTAGAGGTGTAACCCCTTGTAACCCTTGATAGTAGTAGGAAGCTTAACCACGAAATGAATGAAGAGCTTTTCCTTATTAAATCAGGCCCATCGTGTTTGGTTATTGCAACTGGATCTAGCGTTAACAGAGGGATCTGCCCTCATAACAATCTTCATTCTTGGCTTTTTAGTTTAAGTTAGGATTGTTAACAAACACAGTTCAGAAATTATTAGCTGTCAGTTTACTCCTTATTTGAAAAATCACAGCAGCCCCATTTAAATTATTTTTTCTCCCATAGGAAACTGTGGTATCTATGGGAAGAACCAGGACTTGAAGAAAAGGAAATTGGATCCATCCTAATGGAGGCTCAGGTCACATCCTTGGACTTTGTCACTAAGGGACTTTCGAAAACTACTTTTAGGTCATAAAACTGTTCATCATTCCTAGGGAATGAGCTTTATTTCCAAGGATTTACCTTGCTTCGTTCTGAACTTTACCAGAGGATTTGACTATTGGAGCCTTCTGCAGGTAAAGCTGAGCAGTCAGAAAACAAGCGCTTTAAGAAAGCTTGTCACACTCTGCAGCGGGGAGGCTCTGAGATTAAATACCTTTTCTTTGGCTCTTGAGGTTCTTCACTATTTATTCCTAAGCTATTATGTTAGTATGTATGGAAATTTTAGGAATCCCCAGTGCCTACCTGCCTTCAAGCAATATTACTAAACACCAACTTTTACAGCTGCCTATGTGAAATTATTGTAATATCTGCCTTTCACCTTGGCGCTCAGTGTTTAATGTTGTCCACGCCATACTGTGTATCCTTCCAAGAACAAAAGCTACAGTGGTGTTTAACTACCTTGCGTCAATACAGGCTGCGGTCTTCATCTATGATAATCTCGTTTATAGGTTTATGGTGTCACTATCCTGCAGTTTTTTACCTAATCAAGGAAATGATCTAAGACCAAAGAAAAGGCATTTTAAGAAAGCAAAATAAATTTTCCTTTGTAACAAAAAATAAAAGTGGGTGTTTGTATTTCTCCACCTCAGATGTGAGATATAACCCATCTTAACATAAATGGGTGTTTTTCATAGTTTCAAATGTTTCATAATCCCCCCCCCCCGCCATAATGAGTTTGCAGGTTCTTTTTAAGATGCATCTTGGGCTCTGCCTTTTCTCTCCAAGCTGTGGCTTTTATTAATTTTTAGATCACAGATCCATTTGTGGGAAGCTATGAACCCGAGGCAAGGAACTCAAAGTAGAGGAAGGCAGCCAGACATTTCTATTCCTATGGAAGATGAAGAGGCGCTAGCTTACCCTGATTTCCCTTTATCTTACGTCTCATTCATTACATGGATTTGGTCATATGTTCATCTTTGGTTTTGACATCCTTACCATTTTTTTTCCCAGAAAAAAAAACTCTCTCCCTTGTCTTGAAGCATAATCTTAGTTTAGTTCAGAACTGCTGCTTTAAAAAAGTTCCTGGAGTCAGGAATCCAGTTATAAATTGCACACAACTCAAAACTGAGCTAATGAGATCATGAAAAAGGCATTTGCTGGAAATAAAACCCCACGGCTCAACAAAAGCAAGTTTGGTTTATTTGAATGGTTTCATTAAATAAGTCTACAAAGGTAACAAACTGAAGCACAAAGCGCAATCTTACAAGAAGCGCAACACCCAGAGTTAGTGCAAAATGTACAATTAACGGCTGCTGAGAAACCCCCAAGGTTTGAATTGTTTATTTGCTTTTTTAAACAGTGTACATTGTTAAATAATGTAAAGAAAACATTTATAATTCAGAAAGATTTTTGTAATGTGGAAAAAGATACTCAAAGTGTACTATTAACACAAAAATAATTTAAACAGTTCAGTAGCACTAGTTCATTCCTCTAGGCTTCAGTTACTTCATCCACAGGAGGGGAAAAAAAATCAACAGTAAATAAAACCAGTTCTTACTTTTTGTGTGTAAGTGATCTCAAAATTAAACCAAAATAACAAAACATTATGTGCTGCATTTGGTTCCCTCATTCCTCTGGTAGAAAGTACGGTTTCATTCATCTTAGGTGGTCTGTTTCTCATTTACTTGGCACCTTCTTCGTTCTATCCTGACTCTTACCATCTCCTCAAGAATCTTAAGCAGAGAATAAATAAGTAAACAACTTCGAAGCAGGGCTTGGAACCCCTGTCCTTTTCATTTCTACTTTTCTAAACCTTCAGCTTTCACTTGCATCTTTGGGACCTAGGCTAACTTACTAAAGAAAAGAAGGCCCATGAAGGAACAACAGGATAGACGGCCAACCAGGCTCCCCCTATTGTGGTGATTCCTGGGATGTGCTGTTGAGGTGGGTAAGAGGTTGGAAATGTGTCAATTTCCCAACTCAAGAGTCAAGAGAAGAAGCACCCAAAAAATCAGGAGTCCTAGCTTCTTTCCCCATCTTCGGAGATAATAGAGATCCCAAACATAGCCAATTAGGAGAGTATTTCCTGAAAGCTCTGAAAATAATAGAACTGCCCATTACAACTAGGCATAGCACTACATAATACTGATTGGTTGCAGTTATTACTTAAGGGAATTATTTGTTTATATGAGAATGTGAGAATATCAGTTGCAATTCTAGAAAGAGAGGTGGCACAACAGATTTATGATCCTGCAACCATTTGGACATCACATAGGAAACGAGTAGGAATAAGCATTCTTTCTTACAATGCTTAATTCAGATGTGGGTCCACTTTCCACAAAATACAATACCCCAAGCTGAGAAATGCATGATACATTTGCAACAAGAGGAAAGCAATCCAAAGTTTTTCTTAGAGCATCTTTCTCCATCTGTAACTTTTCACTATCAACGTTTCCCAACTTAAAAACTAGCCCCCACCCCCTTCCCTTTATATTCAGCCATTTCCACTAGGTCTTGTCTGTCAAGCCTGGCTTAAGTAAGGCTCATGGCACCCTGTGGGCCAGGCAGCACACATCTTCCTGACAAGTCTGTTCTCCTGTTCTTAGTCTTTCTTTTTCTTTATCACACACCACCCTTAAGCTTTTAAATTGCTCAATTTTGTTACCACACCCCTCCTTACTGTTCTTGAAACAGAACTTTCTGCTTTCAACCACTGATGTCAACTTAACTTCTCACCCTGCTCATCTTACACCTGCTCTAGACAAAATTGAATGACTTAAGGAAAAAAAAAAAAACAAAACTCTTTCAGTTTCCCTTTGGCATAATCCTCTGCTGGGGTCACATGGACCTAATATCCTTTCATTCGCTCTCTGCTGATCTGGGGTCTGATGAGAAGTTGGTGCTAATGGCAGAAGCAGTAGAAGTCCAAGGCACTAAAATATCCAGCAAGCAATACTGGGAGAACAGAAGTATTCAAGTACAGTAATTTATACAATCTTACATTCACATTTATTTATCTACTACAATGGAAATACAAAGGAAAAAGCTAAAGTGTCTCAATAAGTAAAGGACAGAGCTTGTTTTTTTCAACTTTTTAAACCTTTCATATTTTACTCTTAAAACTACTGTTGTCCAACAACATTTATATATCACAGTGTTTCCACATCAAAACTGATGGCAAAGTTACATGTCCGCAGGGGACTTAATTTTTTTTTTTCCTAATTGCTAATGCTGCAGTCAAAGCTGCTAATATCATCTGCTTAAAGCACTAATGACCTATCATAAGAAAGGGTTGAAACCTCAGTCCCCTGGTGTTTTTCACTGAGTTCTAAAGCAAAAAAAAAAAAAAAGAACAAAAAAAAAAAAAAAAGAAGAAACAACAAAAAAAAAAAAAAAAAAAAAAAAAAAAGGGAGGGGGGAACAGGGTAGGAGAGAGCCCAAAAGTTTTTTTGTTTTGTTTTTTTTTTTTTGTCTTGTGGTTTAGATTCTTGAGGGAATAAGGGATTTGGGGTGGGTACCAAAATTAAGAGCGCCACCCATTTGAAAACACAGATGGGGTTTGGTTTTCCACTGAGCTCTCTCGTAGCTTTCTGATAAATGATTCTCTTTTCTAGCCCTCACTACTGGGTGTAGAGACACAGGAAAGCATGGTTTGAAGCCGCCCCATCACAAGAAAGCTGCTCTTTCCTTCTTGTTCCACTGCAATAAATGGTGAAGGGGGAGAGAGATTCTCAATTCTGAGGGCTCTAAGCGGTATTAAAAACATTCCTTTCTGGCAAGAAATAACCAGTTAAATGCAGCACTAGTTGTTAGTATATAGGCTACTTTCCCGTCCCCCCCACCCACCCACCCTTCAGCATTCCATCTCCTGCCCCCAAATCTACTCAAGTTAATGTCTCTAGGTCTAAGTGGTCCGCAGGTTGGAACCTGGGGGGTTGCTGATGGATTTCTGCAAATTGCTGATGCCGAAATTCTGTAAGGAGGCAGTTCCCACAGGCTGGAACTGGCCAAGTGGCTGTGGTGCTGGGCCACCTGTCCCACTCCACTGAGTGCCAAAGGGGGGAGCTGGAAAACCGTACTGCTGTGGGGGGCACATAGACTTGGTGAAATGACCTAGAGAGGTAGCTGATGCTGCAGAGATGGGGGCAGAACCACCCAGATTTGAGGTCATGGAGATGCACAGCTGACCAGGTGCAGAGAACTTCCTTGCCATTCCAGGGCCCTGAAAACAAAACAACTACATGTCAAGTTTGGTGTGGGTATAACCCAGAGGTGAAATGGGTGGTACTGAAATCTAATTCTAGAACTGGGGCTGTTTGAGCCTTACAGGGTATAGTAAAACCAAAACCAAACCTTTCATAATTATTGGCTCTTTACACTTGCCAGGTAAGGGTGCGCTTGGAAGTGGGCAGAGTCACGTACATGTGTATATACGTGTATGCAATTCAGGGCGTTAAGAGAAAAGGGGAGGAGAAAATGAGTTGACAAACAGGGAGCTAGGGATTCAAAGACAAAAGGGTAACTGGGTTGCTACAGAAGGCTACAGCATGAAAGGCTAAGCACTAGCTAGGTGGTTGATACCACTTCTGCTTCAGATGTGTGCTAAGCGATACTCTGCTAGATTAGGAAAATGACAAAAAGGGAAGACTTGCCTCGTAATTCATGTGTCCTTTGCTTCCTCTCCTGCCGGAAAGATTCATGGCATCTCGGGCCCAATTGTCTACCAGCTTGTGCAGGTCATCTGTGAACGTGCCCTTCCTGCTGGACGTCATGGCAGGAGGCTGAGCTTGGGCGGCTTGGCTGTTCACTGCTCCCCCAACGGTGTTTGTGCTACTGGTCCCTAGAATTAGAGGAAGCAACAGAATACAACCATTAAAAGAAGCTTGGGTTAGAACATCAGGAAGAGGGAAAACTTCACAGGATGATGAATGGCAAGCCACTGAATGAGGAGAGGATAAGCTGGGAAGGCATGCGAGAGGGGAAGGGTCCAAGAGTTTGTTTAGCCACATGTTCTGGCATAACATAACAGGGTAATGAAAACAGACTCTCTTCAGGAGTTGTGGCAGATGAGGCTAAATAACTCCGGATGATAGTAGGCACAAACGGGCAGGGACCTCTTTCAGCCCATTCACATGGTATCTTAGAGTACTGAAACTTACTTTTAGTACCCTATTCCCAGCACCACACTGATGAGGGAGGTGCGCTAAGGTCAATGAGGCTCTAGAATGCTGCAGAATGCAGGGCAAAAGAAGAGGATTTCTTGAGCCCTGAAGCAGGGTTAAAAGCAGGAGTTAAAGGAATGCAAAGGTAGATTGCTTGGCCCAGGAAAAGATGGGGTTCCCAAACCATGTGGATGCTATGCCACAGTCTTCAGCCATTCTTTAACAGAAAGAGGCGAGAGGAGAGATAGCATGCTCTGTTCAAAAACCTTTTTCACCTGGACTCATACACACAAATTCATAAACATAAACTCGGGAGGAATGAAGGCTTTGACCTCTCCCAATTGCCTGAGTTAAGAACCAAGATTACTCCTGAGGAAGGTTCTCTGTGGTGTGCCTAAACCGTTCAACTCCAGGAAGACATGGTTTTCCTGAAGATGACCTCAGTTTCAATTGGTTTGTGAATTCTCACCCCTCCCCTTCCTTCCCAGAAGAGCAAGCACTCACACGTGGAAGCAACAGGAACATTCAGCAGAGGTAGGAGTGCAAAGGGAAGGAGGAAGCTTTGAGGTTATGATGAAGGAATTCTATTTCTATGGTTTGATGAGAAAGGAAGAAGGGGTCTGTGTCCTGCCTGATTTCGGCTCTGCTGGAGGGCACACTGAAGATTATTCGAAGAGGCAAGTTTTAGGGAAGAGGGAAAGAAAAGTCATGATCTTGTTTTTCTTCCTCACCCCCCACTTTCTTACCAGATCTCACATTTGCTGCAGAATAAATAAAAGCTACTAAGGTAAGTTGTGAGCCACTAGGCCTTCAGATATCCAAGTAATGCTGGGGGCTAAAAAAAAATGCATACATATTCCTGCTTTCCAGGTCCAAGCAGCACCAGAGCACAGCAGCATGCCCGAAGCAACTCTGCCATTTACAAGCCCTTGATAATCCATTGCTGGTCTCAAGTCAAGTTTAAACCCCACTGCCCTGGGAATGGCACACACAAGCATGTTTGTATTAGAGTAATAGCTAATTCTGAGGTGAAGCTGCAGAGTGAGGAAGGTCACATGCTTCTTACCACCAAGGCAAGACATGGATCTACTGCAGTGTGTATTAGCTCACTTCTTAGTGCCCACTGGAGCCACAAGGGGATAGCTACTGCACATACAGCGTAAAGGGAAGAGTAAGTTCCCCTTCGGTACAGGAAACCCAAGTGGAAAAGGATAAAAGCACAGGAACAGCCTGCCTTGAAAAGCAAGAGAGACAGTGGTGGGGAAGCACAAGCAATGAGGGTGGCAGTCGTGATAGTGATAAAATCTAGAAAGCAAGCATATCACATGCATGAGGACTATTTTCCTGTTTGAATAATAATTGCTTGGTGAGCTTGATGATGAGTGAGACAATCAAAATGAAAACCAGAAACAATCACAAGTGAGCAGAACTATTAAAAGCCAAATACAAGAAGCTCAGTAGAGGTGAACAGTGCTTATTCACAAAGAGCTCATGCTCGGAGTCACACCTCTCTAGTTGCCTCTGATGCCGTGAAGCTCCTTTATAACCAAATTTAATTTTTCATTTTAATCTGTCTTATACACTACTGGATTCTGAAGTGGGGTTTATACACCATGATGGGGGGAGGGGTCAACCATACAGTTACCCTTCTCATTCTGGCTTCTGAAAACAGGCTTTCCCATTAAAGGAAATAAACACATCCCACTCTGGCCAGAAATTAACGCCTGGCAAAAGCTGACTTGACTATGAAAGCTAGGAGAATGGATAGTGCATTTAGTCCATCTTAGTAGTAAATGGTTTAAGAACACTACCTGTAATGCAGATATTTCTGAGAATGCCACTTGCCTTCCAGAGAATATAATGAGTAACCTTGAAACCGTTCTCAGTTCTGCTGCAAAGCTCTAAGAAGTAGTGTATGTTTTACCACCCAAAATCCATTTTTAAATTTCCTCCTGCCATAATACATTTCCCACACACTACACCACCAGATCCTAGCAACAATAACTTACTCTGAGTCACAGCTCATTGCCTAGTATCCCAAATACTAGTCAGTTTTCCGACTGACCCTCTAGGTGGCCGGTTGGGTAGTTGAACAGTCTGCACTTTAATGAGAAGCCACCAGTCTAAGAAGCCAACTCTATAAAGTAGTGCTTCTCTCTTCACCAATCCAGCAGATGTCTCCCACTATGATGCGTGGATATGGACTTTTCTATGTTTGGATCAGTGCCGATTTTCCAGTGGGCGGAACAGTGGCTGGCACATTATCTGCTGACTAAAGGACTCTCTTTCCCAAAAGAGCCAGGCATCCCTGATCTCTCTATATATTATGGGCATTATCAATCCATAATTGTCACAAAGCCAGCTCACAGGGGGTCATCACATGAGAGCAGACTATGAGGTGATTTCTTAATCCGCCAGTGGTCAGCAATTAAGCATGTTAAAAAACCTTAGAAAAGGGTGCAGAACTAGATGAAAATTGGGAATGAGGACGTTGTGAAGCTTCAGGGTTCCAAGAACTCATGGATAACAGGCTTTGCAATCGACCAAAAGTAAGAGAAAGAAAAGATAATTACTACAGAGCTGGTTGCAAGGACAGACTTTTTTCACCATCTTCCCTGAAGCACAAAGAGAGAGCAACGTGTTAAAGATAAAGAAACATCAGTGTAAAATATTTAGAATCTCCAAACAGCACACAAAGTCCCAGCAAGAGAAAGCAGAAAGAGAGACAGACTGGTGGGACCCGGGAGCCCCTGCCATAGGTAAAGTTCTACGGGACATATCTTACTTAGCCTTAACATGGGTGTCTGATGGATGGAGGTACCTGGCTGACAGCGGAGCTTCCACACCCCATCTTTGTATCTAAGAATAATGCTCTGCACTAAGGTTCTGGGATGGGGGAGGAACTCCAGTCTCTCAGGTCTTAACTGCTTGAATTTCAAATACCCAAGCAGTCTTTCCACTGACCCTGTCCCACTTTCTGTTTCTCCTGCTGGGTTGTTAAAAAGCACTCGATTAAATGCATTAGCAATTCTACCCCAGTAGACTGACAGTACCACTGTTACAGTTCTGAGTCAATTTAAATTGGCTAATATATTTCCAAATCCTAGACATACACACTAACCCCTTCCCCTCCAGAAGTCTTTAAAAGTATGTGGAAAACGAGCAACTTTTGAACATAAATAAAGCATTAAGCCAAGCCGTGCTTCCAAACCATAATCTATTTTGAGGGCACAGAATAATAATGCATCCAAAACTAGAAAGACCCCACGTCTGTTAAGTACCTGTTTTCCCTTCCATATTTGCTTTAAATCTGCCTCTTGCAATTTGTTCACCAAGGCTTATATGATATATACTCAAGTGCCTTCAACAGATGTAGGGCCTTTCTTTTTAGACCCAAAAGGAAGTGATAAGATTTAATATTTCTAACCACTTTCATTTGATGTTACAAGTGTGCCACCACCTACCTTTAAGAGTGTGTGAGAATTTAATTAATTAATCTGAAGTGTATCTCTCACATTATGCTTCCCAAAAAAGCCTTGGTTCTCTTTCTTCCCTCTTACACATCTCAGGCTGTAATAATATAGGCCTGACATGTTACATCCTACTTTACAACACTTGCCTCTTACTATTAAATGTCTTTTCATCTTGCCAGCTGGACACAGAAATTAAATGCTTATTTAAAAGTGTCAAGGTGCTAACATGCCTGGTCCAGCCTGGTCTAACCAGAAAAGTTATTGATCTGAGTACCCAAAAACCATACATACTTTGGAAAGCTACCAAATTGGATAACACCTTCCACGTCTTTTGTTCAGTAGTCCTGGACTGGTGATACGTGAGGCCCAAGGACCTCTGGACCACACTCAGAAACAGTGATGACCTTTTTGCACATGCATTTAAAAAGCACTTCAATAACCACATCAGAAGTTTGAGGCCTCAACAGAGAAGATCTTTAACCAAACTGTAACAAAGGTTTTCTACCTGAGCCTTGTTTTTGCTTTTTAAATTTTTATTTCAGTATACATTTACTGACTACCTACTATGTGCCAGGCTGATTTAGAAGGAAATGACGTGTGCTTCCCAAGTGCTGCCCATGTCTGTGCACATGATCTCATTTGATTTGTACAACAGCCCTAGGAGACAGGCATCATCTTCATTTTACCTTTGGGGAGGACAGGCTGAGAAAGTTGGGTGATTTGCTATTGTACCTTGCTTTTAAGAAGAGAGCTAGGAAATCCTAGCAATCATGTTAAAAAGACCATTTTCATTGGCAGGTGCTGGGCTTTGGTCCTTAAAAGAATAAATGCTTAATCAGAGTAACTATATGGAAACCCTTTTTGAACTACCGATTTTATGGAGTTAGAGGGTGGGGGTGGGGGAGTGAAAGGATCCAATGAAGAGATTCTAGCATCATTTCAACTGAGAGATGGTTAGGCTTAATTGAGAAGAAAAAAGATTTCAACGTACTCGGAAAAAGAATAAAAAAATAGGGTGTAATTCTCCCTTACTGCCAGGATCTAAGTATATCAGTGGTCAAGATGCTCTCTGTTACTTCTAATGCCAGAGCAAGGGGCAGATGTGACTATGGACTTCAGTCTTCATTTATTCTAAATGACCCAGCAGTCTCTACAGAATTACCACCTTTTCTACTCTGTCACGGATCTATGAAGAAGCACTTCTACCAGAAAGTTTTTTTTTAAGCTTATAGAAATCTATTATTATCTCTGTATCTTTTATCATAATTAACATAGAGACCCAAACTTCTGAGGTTAACAGTAATTCAGCCAAGCCACCGAGTAGATGATATACAAAGAGACAAATGAAAATGGACTGCATGAAACATCAGATCCAAGCAGCAGAAAAACAAGGACGAGGAAGGAGTAAAGGTGTTACACACAAAGAGCCAAGCAGGGCGTACTCAGAAATCGGGTCCTCCTGCCACCAGGTTTGAATGTCACCTGCTCAGATGCACAGTTAAACTTCGCACAGCCTGTGAGAGGGGGGAAAACAGGGAAGAACAGAGAGAGAAGAGACAGAACACAACTACAAGATGTTAGAAACTCGAGGCTGGAGTGGTGAAATGCGCTAAGATGGCACACAGAAGAACAAGCTTCCAGGGAAAGGCCAGATATCTAGGACAGGAAATATCAGGTCTCAATTCCCTCCCTCTGTCATATGCTGAAGTTCCTCCCATTGGGAATAATGCCAGCTAGTCTGCACTCCTAGCAAGCAAGTATATTCACCTTGTGAAGAGATGATCTAATCTTTGATTTCTGTGATATTGTGGCAAAAGCCCCTAAGCGAGTTACCTATATCTTCTCCTACTCTTTTTCACCCAGATACCTAAATCCTTCCAAATGTCGTTCTACTATTGCTAGCAGCTCCCTCCTCAACAGGAAAGTTTCGAACGATCATTAGTAAATAAAACTATATTTAGGAAGTAGATTACAGATAAATAATGGAGTTGTAGGGCTATTTATCTTAGTATGCTACTCCCATACTTAAAAGTTTAAAAAGTCTGCACTGGCTAAGAAAATGTATTAGTGTTCAGAAATTGCTAAAACTCCTTTGATTTTGGTTCAGGAAATCTCAGTCTAGTATTAAAGTGTATGTTCCAAATCCCAAATGAGTCATTAATTTGGTTAAAGTCCTCCCATAAGTCACACATGCAACTTTTTGCTGTAATCCTTTGAAAAAAGCGATTTCATCTGATAAGAGCAATGAGTTCACCTAATCTAATCATTACCCAACCTCCCCTTCCAGCTCAAGATCTGTAAGGGTACAACAGACAGGCTATGTTCTGGTCAGCTGGTTTTCCAACTGACCTTAACAACAGTTACTCTTCAGGCTTCTGCCACAGATATTACAGTTTTTAGATGATGGTTGCTTTGATTGCTTACCTTGACCTGGAGCAGAAAGGCTTGGTACTGAAATGGCACCATCACTGGTAAAGGCTGAATAGAGGTTGTCACTGGAGGGAGATGGCTTAAGGGGCTGTAATAGCTGATTCTGCCCAGTCTCTGGGATGCTGCCAGGAGGGTGGAGGCTCTGCTGGGGGTGCAAAACTGAAGCGGCACTCTGACCAGACAGGTTACCTGCCAAAAGATAAAGCGGCATGAGGAAACATGTACAGCTTTCCCCTTGCCCTTAGTAGGCACTATTCTCATTCCTCCAATGTGTCCCACTAAGTGACTAATCACAAGTCAGAAGCTATAACTGATGAAAGAACAAAGGCCTCTCTCACGGGAGGGGAAGTGAGGAATGACAGGAGAATCGACAGGCACTAGGGCTATAGGTAGCTTCAGATGACCTAGAAGGTTCATAACTCTCAGCTGAGCAGAACATTCAGTGGGTATGAGAGAATTCCATGATCGCTTTCCTAAACACTATTATAAAACACTGAGTTGGAGCATGACATCAACAGGTTTGGTGGGGGGCAGTCTCTGCTTAGTCTTTTTTCCAAGCATGTGTCAGATCAAATACAGTGTTGTCAAAACCGACACAAGTGACTACAGAGTAATGCATATTTAAAATTATTTGTAGCAGATGGCTTTTATTTCCTAGTCGTCTGTCTTGAAATTGACAAACGTGTCTGTTCCCTACTAATTGGTGGAATAGAAGGCCACTCAAAAAGTATGTCAAAGTTGGGATCAGAATCTAAATTAGCTGATATCCCTTATAATCACATTGCCGCTACTGAATTGGTTCTAATGTGCTAAAGAAGAGGTTTGGGTTTCTGAAAGCTTCCAGGAGAATGCAAAGCTGCTAAGAAGTTTACAACTGCTTTCCAACATATTTATATTAGACCTGGAGAGCAAATAGAGGTACAAACTTATTTCAGGCTTTTTCACTTTTCAACTAATTATCCGTTAACATCATAATTTCACTGAAGGGTAGACAAACTGTAGTTTTGTTACAAGATACTTACAAGATATTATGATTTAACTTTTTTTTATTACAACCACTAGCAAGTTCTTTACTTCAATATACATAAATGAAGTAACTTTAATCAAGAAAATTACCACCTAAGACATTTATGAAATTTACATTCATCCTAGCCGCAATTATGAGTAATTCATTCATTGAAAGGAAAAATCTACCTAAACTTTACTAAACAAACAACAGTGTATTTTCTTTCATTTGCCTGTGATTTTGGTGAAATGTGAGTTATATGAGTAACCAGGTAATGCTAAATTGTTTATCTTTAAGGACAACCATAAATGGCTACCAGTAGATAGTAATATGGATCACAATGGAATGAGCCACTGTACTGATCCAGTCTACTTTCATAGACTCAACAAAAAGAGATACTATAAACAGGGGGAGTGTAAAAGTCAAGGAAGCAAGAATATTAGGAAAGTCAAACTCCTTTGAAATTTAACAAAAACAACAAATGTTTAATAGGTTACATAAAGAAGTTGGAGACAGAAACAAAAGCTGGGACAGCCAAGGCTGACCTGGTCCACGGCTTTTTACCTGAAAGCTGGGGGCTTTTATTCCCCAAGGAACTGCTGCGACTGGATTTGCTGCCTTTGCTTTTAGTGGGTCGCCTTCTTCTCCCTGAAAGGGGGGCAGCTGGGGGAATAATGACAGCGGGGGGAACCTTTCCCAGTTTGGTATACAAAGATTCAATTTCATGCTTCTGGCGACTCTGCAAGTCTTGAATTTCTTTAAGATGCCTATGAAAGATAACCAAACATAATGCAAAAACATTATAACCACTTTTGTTCACATAAGATTTAATAACATTCTTTAACCTCCATTCAAGTAATTACTTATTCATGAATTCCCCCCCCCAATATACTTAACCTAACTTCTACTGCCTTGAAATTCTAGTTTGTCATCTCATATTGTTGGCCTCCATTACCCAAGCCAAATTCCAACAAGTTCCTAAACAACAACAAATAAGTTGACAATGTGTTAGGAAAAAAGGTTTCCTGACTTTGGAGGCTACACACAGGAGTACTGAATTGCTACTTTGATCCAGTTTATCAAATACGACCTATTAAACCTGCCAACATAATCTACATCCCAGTGCCATTACTGGATCCATCTGATAGACTAGTAAATAAATTAGATTAGGTTAATAATGATAAAAAGTGCTATTACCAAAAACAACAATATAATAACAAAAGGTAAAGAAGTTCTAAAAGTAGAAATGCTATGGGTCCTTATAAATGTAAGAGACTAAATGACTACATTCAGATAACTAGCTTTTGCATATCACCCTCTCTTTAAGAGCAACGAGATACAAGCATATTGCAGTGAAGAGAAAACTAATCTAGGCACCAGGAGCTAGGTCTTAACACAGTTCTGCCATTATTCTTTCACAGAAGAAAATATACTTACTTTTCTCGTAGTCTTCGCAGCTCTAATTTTAAATCTTCATCTTCAATATCTGACTCATTGTCACTACTCATGTAAGAGGAGTTGAATGAATTACTAAGGCTTTGACTTAGATTCTGGATAGGCAGGCTCTTCGAGCTCAGCTGATGGGGGGAGTGTGGACTACCTGAACCATCATCCACATCCCTGCTAAGGAAGGCGGCCTCCAAGTCAGAAGATGGCCCGTTCAGATGTGAAGGCTCTGACAGTTCAGGCTTTTCTTTCTTTGGTATCATAGCAGGGAGAACACCTTGTTCCAAATGCATAAAAGAAGGAGATGCTGTTGGTCCCTCTTTCTTTGCCTCAGTGATCTTGTCTTCAGTTCTTGATACAGAGAAACGACTTACTTTGTCTGCTGTAGTTGTCACCTGAAAACGTCCTACCTTGGTAGGCTGCCCAGTTTCTGACTTTGCTTCTGATGCAGGAGTTTTGCGGGCACTATCTGGCATATCTGATGAGATGTCATGGATGGTTATCCCATTAGGCTCTGTCTTCACCAGGGTACTTTCTGGACTACTACTTGACAGCACTGAGGACTCTGAAGTACTGGATTCAAAATGAACAGACTTTGTATCTTCTGACTTATTTTTACCCTCTTTTTGGACATCATCCATTGCAACTGAAACCTGATAGAGACCAAACTGAGATTAAAAACAAAGTCTCCAATATTCAATTTTTTAAAATGGCCCTTAAAAAAAATTGAGGGGGTATCTAGCTGGCTTAGTCAGTAGAGCATGTGACTCCTGATCTCGGGGTTCTGAGTTCAAGCCCCACACTGGGTGTAAAGATTACCTAAAAAATAAAATCTTAAAAAAGTAAATTATTTTCCAGTGAATAGGCTGGGATGTCTTTACATAAGTCTTTACGTATGGAAAGTATGTCTTTACGTAAGTCCCTCCATCTTCACTGTGAAAATAAATGGAATACCATTATAGAAAACAACAAATCTGTACTGAGATGTACAGATTAGATATACAGTTTCTCAGCACTGGCTAAGCTCACTAAGTAAATGATTTACTTCCATATCTCATGTTATACACAGGACTTAGATTTACATCTTTCTGGAAATATAAATAACAACAGGGAATAGAATCTTGAAAGTTGCTTGTGAATATGAAAACTACAAATGCCAACTAAGCTTCAAGAATCAACACACCAAATGGGACTATAAGGAGGATCCACTACTATCCCCAACTCCCAGTGCTACCCTGAGAATAACTGGAAAGCAGTTGTGAAAGCAACTAAAAAAAAAAAAAAATTTCACTAGTTGGACCAGCTGGGAAAATATAATGATATGGTGTCACCTGATGCTCAGTCAGTACTTTCACTTCAGAAATTAATCCTAAAAAATTATCCTAAACATGGAAAGTGTTTTTATATACCAAAATGTTTCCTGTTATTTTACTATGTTGGAAAAATCAGAAACAACCTGATGACTAACAAAAGATGGGGGGAAAAGCCACAAAATATCATTCAGAGAAGAAGCAGGGTCAACTGCAGATACACACATGTGCACAGAAAAAGGAATGGAAGGAAACACACACCCTAAAAAGTAATCCTGGATGGGGAAGGGAGGTGGGGGGATGGGCAGATAATTTCCTGTTTCTCTACTATACTAAGTATTCTATATTTTCTTTAATTGGCATGTATTATTATTATTTTTTAAAGTTTACTTATTTACTTATTTTTAGTAATCTCTTCCCCAAACATGGGGCTCGAACTCATGACCCCGAGACTGAGGCACACGCTCTTCCGACTGAGCCAGGCAAGGACCCCAGCATGTATTTTTTTTTTTTTGCATGTATTATTTTTAAGAGGGGAAAATGATAAAGAGCTATACAAAAGAGATGTATCATTAAATTGGCAATTATGTCCCAAAGTTAAGTAATAATTTTATTATATACCTATTCACCCAAAGAGGAAATCAAGGCAAGGAAAAGTGGTTGTCTTACCTGAAATCGTCCCATCTTGAAAACACCAGTTCCTGAACTAGTTGCTAGGACAAGACCTTCTCCGATATGAGAAACTGAAACAAGTACATGGAGGAGAAAAAGAACTTAAATTAGTATCTCTTTTTAGTTAGCTTCCTTTCTCTTTGGCTAGAAATACAGCAAAATAAAACTATGTATCAGGTGAGGAAAACTGTTTGAGGCAAGGACAACAGAAGAGATACTACAAAAACTATGGTTAACAGGCATAAGAATTCAATTACTCATTCTTTAACTCAAAGATAGATGTAAGTAAACGAAGAGAAAGGATGAGATTTTACCTAGAATATTAAAGACCCATTTTTAAATGAAAATCACTATGACAAATTGGTTTAGGCAATACTTAGGCAAAATCCTAAAACAAGTATTGGTGTCAGAATCACTGATACGTAGTTTTGAGCAACTTTAAAGTCACCTAGGTCCTCCTCTCTAGGGACAACCATTTGAGGTTTTTTTCCCGGACATAATGTAGACATATACCAGCACTTTATTTTACGCAACTAGTAAGTTGTATTTTATACAACACTGATTTTGATATTTTAACAATATACCTTGGACAGAATTCCACATCGTTGTCTCATTCTTTTAAATGGCTGCATAGTGTTTTAGGTTTGTCTGCCTACTGTATGTATGCAAATGTACCATATTTTAAGCAGACTTCTGCTGATGGACATTTAAGTTTTCAGAACTTGCTATTACAAAAGTGCTCTAACAAATATTTTCTTATAGATCTGTGGAATAAATACCTAAAAATGGACATGCTGAATCACCCATTTAAAACTTTGATAGACATTACTAAATTGATCTCCAAAGAGGTTGTATCAAGTCACTAGTGGCTATTAAACTTCTGAATTCATCAGTGAGAGGTAAGAAATACTATCACTTACTAGTCTTTTTTGTGATATGAATACACCCCCCCCAACCCAGTTTTTTATTATCTTTGGACCTGATGGCATTTTTTCCATGCAGAAAATTTTTAATCTATTACTGCTTCTGGGCTGAGTATTAAATGTAGTAATAATACCATTCTCTGCATCAGGGATCAGCAAATTATGATCATGGACCAAATTCAGCCCATAGCTTGTTTCTATAAATAAATATTGTTAGACTACAGAGCAAAACTCATTCATTCATGTATCGTCTATGCTGCTTTTGGGCTACAACAGGAGATTCGAGTAATTGTGACAGAGACTATATAGCCAGCAAAGCCTGAAACATATACTTAGCCTTTTATAGAAAGTTTGTTGACCCTGCTCTAGACAGTTAAAAAAAAGAAAAAGGAGAAGAAAAAGAAAAAGATTCCTTTTATGTTTTGTTACAGTACTGTTTTACAGTATCATTTTCTATCTTTGATCCATTTGGAATTTATTTTGGTTGAAAGCCCACCTTTTTCATATTCTACATTCTCTTACAGTTTGTCCATTTCTAGACTTTTTTGGTCTGTTCCACTGATGATTTCAAGTCACTTCTTTTAAAATGAGAGAGCTACTTCAGAATATAATTGTCTTGAAAATAATTTAGAGACGTTTGAAGTGAAATTTAGATTTTAAGGAAGAAAGAAAGCTGAGCATTCCAGGTAAATCTTACTAATAGTTATACAGGGAAATATATCTATGTAGGTGATAGGAGAATGAATAAACTATATAAAAAGGAAAAATATTAAGCAAGTGCTCTACAAAAATCACACTGAATAAGTACAGCTCCCATTGAATTATTTCCACTTTTGAATATAAATGGTTCCAAGGGAAAAGGTGACAGAAAATAAAAGCTTTAAATTTCCTAGTTTCTGGGGGACTGGTGATGTCATGAAAAGAGATTCACAATAAAACTTTAGAAGTCATTGATATGAGCTTATGACCTAGTGCATGCTCACGAAAATTTTAAATTGTTGGTATGGGTTATTTTTACAAAATTAAGCTGGAAATATGCCTAAAGAGAATATACATATGAACATGCCAATTCTAAAGACTCCAGAAATAGATAAAAATGCTTAAACTGATTAAAATTTTACATTTGTATTTCTACCATCCACGTTATTTAAGATTATCTCTATCTTTACCTAGTGTCACAAAGCCAACAGGTTAAGGTAAATTAACTTTTTTAAGTATGCCTGCCTCAATTTCCTATCTCTCTTAGCAAGGATCTGGCCCAGCTAATAACAAAGGGTCTTATTCCGAGAAACTATCATTACCCTTTGCATGCCCCCCTTGAAAACAAACAAAAACAATATAAAAGATTCATTAATTTGCTAGTATGACATGGTCTAGATATTAGCATTGATGCTCCTCAGTTACGAAATATATAAAAATGTTTTTTAAAACTATCTCAAATACACCTACATTCTTAAGAAAGTCTTTGAAATAGTAACCCCTATGATCGATTATAGAGAGGACTGGAAATGGAAACGTAAGAAGAAGGATGCTTCTCACCATCCTTCTGAGGCTGTGCTCCTGCTTCTGTAACTGCTGTTGGAGCCACCACGGACACAGGCTGCAAAACATACACAGATAACATAAAATCTTTAGCTTCAGTCACTCTTTAAACTTTTGCCATGCTGCCTTTCCACTGGTCTTTATAAAGGGCAAAAGAAATACAGTATATGTGAAGAAACACTTACGTCCAAGGGAGTTTTCTTTTTTTTTTCAGCCTAAAAAGAAGTCTCATGTAAAAAAAAAGATTTTTTTTTATTAAAGATTTTATTTATTTGATGGAGAGAGCAAGAGAGCACAAGCAGGGGGAACAGTAGAGGGAGAGGGAGAAGGAGGCTCCCCACCAAACAGGGAGCTCGACGCGGGGCTTGATCCCAGGACTCTGGGATCATGACCTGAGCCGAAGGCAGACGCTTAACTATGTGAGCCACCCAGGCGCCCCAAAAAAAAGATTTTTAAAAGGAAGAAATTCAGAGTTGTTTCTGTATCGTTTTCTTCATTTTTCTCATGGGATACTTAGTGTTTAACTTGGATATTCATAGAAAAATATATATATATATTTAAGATTTTATTTATTTATTTGACAGAGAGAGAGATACAGCGAGAGAGGGAACACAAGCAGGGGGAGCGGCAGGCAGAGGGAGAAGCAGGCTCCCCGCCGAGCAGGGAGCCCAATTCGGGGCTCGATCCCAGGACCCTGGGATCATGACCTGAACTGAAGGCAGGCCCTTAATGACTGAGCCACCCAGGCACCCCCAAAGAAAAATAGTTTTAATCAGAACATTGTGTTACAAGCTTAAAAGGAAGACGTTAAAACTTTAAGTACTTAAAGTACAGCTTCCAGGGTGCCTGGGTGGCTCAGTTGTTAAAAGCATCTGCCTTCGGCTCAGGTCATGATCCCAGGGTCCTGGGATCGAGCCTGGCATCGGGCTCCCTGCTCAGTGGGGAGCCTGCTTCTCCCTCTCCCACTGCCCCTGCTTGTGTTCCCTCTCTCACTATATCTCTGTCAAATAAATGAAATCTTAAAAAAAAAAAAAAAAAGAAAAAGCAAAAGTACAGCTCCTCCAAAGCATAAATGCAAAATCCATAGGATTGATCTATGGTATAATTCTAGCCAGAGGTAAGACAAGAAAAGTATCTTTCAAATAAATAAAATCTTTTCCACAATGACACCACTGGGTCAGTTGTTAATCTTACATTCATCTGCCTCATTTCTGTTTGCTGGAACAAGCAAAGACTCTGAATTAATACTTTTAACTCTGTAGGTGGTTAACGGTATTAATAGGTTACAGGATGCTCTAGGAATATAATATATTAGGATTATGCAAAGACGTCGTCAAGATTTTCAAAACTTACACCAACTGTGGGTGTCAGCGCAATAGTCTCTGGACTAAGTGTTCTTCTCAATTGAGCATCAAGATCTTCCAGAGGCTGCTGGGACTGAATGAAAACAAGCACAATAAATACAGGTCTTTGGCATAGTCAGAGCCACTACATATAGCCAATCTATATACGAATACTGTTTGATGCTTTAGACTGACACAACATATTATCTGTCTATTCACTGAATAGAAAATTCAATATGCTAAATTTAACTTATATTGCTTAAATGATTTCTGTCAGTTTCCCAAGCCTAAGAGAAATTCAGTTACATTTATGTTTTTACAGTTCTGAAGTCTTCTTACCTTCTGTTTGATGTTACTTAAAGTGATAAGAGAAGTTTCTATTTGTCCTCTCTTTAAAAACATTCTGATAGGGATGCCTGGGTGGCTCAGTCAGTTAGGCATCTGCCTTTGGCTCAGGTCATGATCCCAGGGTCCAGGGATGGAGCCCCGTGTCAGCTCCCTGCTCAGCAGGCAGTCTGCTTCTCCCTCTCCTCCCTGTTCATGTTCTCTCTTGCTATTTCTGTCACTCTCTCTGCCTCCCTCTCTCAAATAAATCTTAAAAAAAAAAAATTCTGATAAATGTATCAAGATCTATCAGTAGATTAATTCTATCACACGTTCCCCTATTTTCCTTTCAGTTTGGTACATCTTTCTGAGAATGTCTTTATGAATGGCATTAATATATCCTTGTCACTATCAAGGGATATTTAAGTCTTTTTTTTTTTTTTTTTTAGATTTTATTTATTTATTTGACAGAGAGAGAGACACCGTGAGAGAGGGAACACAAGCCGGGGGAGTGGGAGAGGGAGAAGCAGGCTTCCTGCCTAGCAGAGAGCCCGATGTGGGGCTCGATCCCAGGACCCTGGGGCCATGACCTGAGCTGAAGGCAGACGCTTAACGACTGAGCCACCTAGGCACTCTGTATTTCTTTAAGTCTTAATAATCTATACTTCTTACACCCTACAGATTGCAGCAAGAAGGAACTGGAGGTTTGGACATTCCATCCTGTTAACCACGTCTTACTACCATCCACCCCAAGGCCGTTAACTTTTTACCTTTGACACAGACTGTAATTCCACATCTATCTTGGCTTCTATCAACCTATTCTTCTGCAGCTTTATCTTCCTCCCCCTATATGCAGGCATTATCCACTTACCCTCACTACCCCCTCCCCATCTTATTTGCTCTTTTGTGTCCCATTTGAGCCCCCCTCAGGAGTCTCAATGTATGTTTTTAATGAGAAAATAGGTGTAAAACCCCTAATTTACAGAATTTCACAATGTATTTTTTCCAAAATTTAGTGGCTGATGGTTTGAGTTCTCTTTGGAGTTACTACTTTATTCTGGCAAGTTCTTTAAGTTTGTTCTACTGTACATTTAGGATTACATAAGTAGGGATAAAGTCAGACTTCTCAAGTTAGAAATTTATCATGTTTTCCTTAGATACAATTTTAAAATAAATCACTGATTTAGTTTAAATGTTTACTACTCTGTCTCAGGGCAGAAGCTTTTTCAGCGTTATAATGAATTCATAGTACGTACTTTCCTTATGGGAATTCAACTAAATGTGTGTGGTGGTGGAGTAGGGTGGGAAAGGGAAATGATAATTTAAATATTGCAGGCAGTTCTACCCAATGATCAGAACTGAGCGTGAGATAGGAAATTAATATTCATGTCACTGGTCTCAGTTCCTGTATGAGTAATCTCATGTTAATTGAGCTGTGTGGGTTTTGTACTGAAAAATATAATACGTATTTTTCATGAAGCATGACCCTTATATCCACCTATACATAAGCAATTACTTTATTAGGTTGTCAATGAAAGAAATGTCAAACATTCAAGAAAAAACTGTTGAACTCACAGAAAAGGGGCATTATCAGTTATCAGTGTGGTATCTTTTCTTAAGGGACTTTCAAAGTTAATTTTGATTACTTGTAAGTTTTTACTTCCAGAGTAGTCTAGAACCTAATCTCAGTCCTTAGATGCAATTTCACTCCACAAAACTGTGAATGAGAAGAATTATATTTGTCTGGTAAAATGTAAACCTTGCCATTTTGTTCCTTCATAAAATATGAAAAAGTATTAATATCAAATGTTTTCTAGATGACTTGAAGCAATATTATAAACAAAAGAACTATGAAGCTTCTTACTTTAAATAGGGCCTGGATAATTACCTATACTGTTTTAAAAGAAAGTTATTACTAAGTCAAAACCAAAGAGGAGCCAGAAGCCAAGATCATGCAATGGAGAATTTAAATAAGCTTTGTGAAAGAAAAGTAGGGGTACAAAAAGAAATCTGCCAAGTCTTGGGGCAGGGCACCTGAGTTAGTGAAGGTCCTGGAAAAGGTGGCAGCTGCTCGCTGGGTGGAGTACCAGCTGGAAGTTCAGTACCCACTGGCAGCACCTACAGACAATGAAGGGAAATTCAAGTCCATGAGACACTAAGAGTAAAGACTGCATACTGGAGAGCAAATCAATTAATTCCAATGTAAAAACGTAAGAGTAAAATATATCTATGGTTAAGACATGCTTGTCACCTAGCTTATATTCTGGTATCTATAAGGACATTATAACCATGATAGTGTTGTAGGGGTTACTACTGCATACCAATAAAATGAATAGTAAAATTTAGTAAAAGGTTATTCCCTAGGGAAAAGAGAATCAAAGGCTTTAAGGACATGAAAGGCATAGTCCAGTATTCTTGAGCCACTGTTTTGGCATAGTATCATCAGGCTTTTCCTAAAACAAACACTTTTCTGAGAAAACAATACAGTTCAGAAATAACCAAAGGTCAAGTCTGATAACAAAAGTCATCAGGATACTATTACTAGTAAACAATTTGTACACAGCCTCTATTATTACCCTATTATAAAAAGAATTTTATAGTCAATGGCAAAGCAGAAAGATGAGTGAAGCACAGAATATAGTAGAAAAAACACAATCTTGTTATTTGGAGCAGATCAGGGAGACTGAAGATGGCAGAATGAGAGGAAATCCACCACAGCAGAATTAGAAAACATATTTTAGTTATTTTATTCCTAGGATTAGATTCTTTTTTCCTCTGTATGAAATTCATCGCCAACTTCCAATTTTTTATAAACCCCAAATTGTGTATCTGTGGAATCTAAGCAAAGCACAAAATTTGCTTCTGCTTCATTCTCACTGAAACAAAGGCTGTGAACTGCTATCACTATGTATAATTGCTAGCAGAAGCATTCAGCTTCCTTTTGAGTGACAGATTTCTTTAGCTGGTACCAGTTAGGAAGAAATGTCTGTATTGTACCTATTATACATCCTTAGAAAACCAGGCAGTATAATTAATCCCCAAATCCTACCATATTTCAAAAAAAAAAAGTATCTCGTGTTCAATGTACATATATCCTAAAATCATTTTCAATTTATTTAATAAATACTCAATGTCTAATACAGGCCAGGCTGTCTTTAGAACTACATTTCTAATTTGCAAGGTTGAGTTGAAAAAATGCACTTATGGGTGTGGGGGGGAAGAACGGTATTTATCAAATTATTTCAAAACAAGAATCTTACTGGAGCTTTAGTTAAAGGTGGCTTCGATGGAGCAGTTCCAGCTTTCACTCCTGGTGTCACGCTGACTGGGGCTGACACATAGTTGACTGGGGTAGAAACCTGCCCAGGTGGGACCACTGGCATAACTGACAAACCAGTTGTACCCAATGGCAAACTGGTTGGTGGTAAGCATGTACTTGTAGTGGAAGTCATGAGCTTGCTTGGTGCAACAGCAGTGGTTGGGATGCCTGGTGTGACAGTGGTCTCTACTACCAGTGAAGTCTCCAGTGAGACAGACGTATGTTGGGCTCCAGATGAGCTGTGTTCACTAAAGAGAGACCGCAGCTTTTCCTCTAGAGTCTTTATGTCATCAATTCCAGGAGCTTTGGGCTGTGAGTCGGCATCTATTTCAGGACAGTGAGTATGGGGCTGGTTGGGAAGTAAAGCTGGCTGAGGCTGACTATGAATTAGTGTCTGCTGCACGGCAGGCACATTGGCAACAGGCTGTACCAAGGGTAGGACACTAGGTACTTGGGGTAATAAAGGTGTAGAAGTAGGTCCTACTGCTTGAGGAAGGGCAGGAGTAGAAGCTATAGCTGATGGGGTGATCAAAGGATGTATCCCACCAGGCTGAGAAATGGAACTAGATAATCCTGCTCCAGGGGAGGAAGACGATGATGCAGAGAGGGACAAAGCCAATCCAGTTGTACTACTATGAGATGTTTTATCTAGTGAGTGTGCACTAACCACCATTGTTTCAGCTAGAGTCGGAGCAGAGGTGCTACTGCTAAGCTGAAGAGACGGCTGTGAAGCTAAGCTTGGGAACGGAGTGGTGACAGGAACAGAGGCTAATGTGGCTGCGCCGGTAGTACTGCCTGCCACCTGCTGCGACAGTACAGGTGGGGGCTTAGCACCCGGGGCAGCGGCACTGCCCACTGCAGGGGCTAAAGTTGTTGCAACTGGTATAGAGGGCAAAGTGCCTATGCCAGAAACAGCGCTCCCAGATGTGGGAGCCTGAACTGGCTGGGATGTTGCTGATATCGAGACAACGGTAGGTACTGTGATGCTCGAAACCACAGTGGAAAATATTGGTGATTCAGATACAGGTGGGACAGGGAGACCACTTGAGGGCATCACACCTGTGCAGGTGGCAACTCCACCAATCCCTGTTTCAGTGGGCATTGGAATCTCAGACTGAATTACTGATGTGGAAATGTCAGTAAGAGGGCTGCTAGTTGCAGGGACTGATACTGAAGGTGTGGCTGCTGCTGTGGTTGGGACTCCAACAATGCTACTCATGGAAGGAGGGACTACTGGAAATGTTGGTCCTATATGACTGAAGTTGGGAGGTGCCGTGTTGGGCCCTTCTGTCATCTGGGCATGTCTAAGTTCAGAAAACGCCTGCTGTAGGCTAAGGGATGAAGCAGAGTGAGACAAGTTCATTCCAGCGCCGTGAGAAGTAGAGGCAGCAACTGCAAAGGAAAACACAAGATTCAGAACCGTCCACTTTAAAAGGGTGGATTCAAAACTGTCCTAACAATCTATATTGCGATTACCAACATTGCCACATACCAACAAGGTTTAAAACTTCTAAGGAAATGACAGGCTCTAAAACAGCAAAGTAAAAGAGCAGTTTGATCAAAATAAGTTAGCTTGTATGAAGATCTATTTCTAGGGGCAAAAAAATTTAATAAAGAGGAAAAAAGGAAAAACAAGTCACCACAAAGCATCTACAATAATCCTAAATGGAGAAACGAACACATACTACTGTATGGACACAGTATCTATTACACAGGCTGCATCTAGTACATTCTCCTCCCCGGCTCTTGTCTTTTAATCCTCTCTATTCATCATCTATTTTCCTCCCCCATATGTTTGTCTATTGTTTATGATCTTAACTTTCTACTCTTCTTTATTGTCTATGTCATCATTTGAACTACTGCTTGATAACCAACCTTCCCAAGATAGCAGAGATACTGTAGGATTAATAGAAGTTTGTGGCAGAAGCAATTCCTTACCTGTATCTGATATTTCACTAGTGAAAACTTTTGATTCTCGTAATCGACTTTCTGGCACAGGACTCACTATAAACCGTCTTCCAGCAGAATGAACAACTTGAGTTAAAGAACTGGTAGGAATGCCTGGTTAAAAAGAAACCACTTAATTGCATTATTTATATATTGTCACCAACATGAGGTTTCAAGATTTCATTATTAGTATACATACAACTTCTTAGGTCAAAGGTAAAAGCAAACATGGGAAGAAAAGAAATTCACCTATTTGCTGTGGCATGGAAGATGCAGGAATTGGTTGTTTGAACTCTCCTTCCAATTTCTACAACAAACAAAAGTGATCAAATTCATTCTCAAACACAATCTTAAAGATTGGGCAAAGCAAATGGCCACATGCAGAGAGAACATAAATGTTTGATAATCTTAGTCATAGATATAATGTGGTATCACTGACCATTGTGCATGGCAGATTTAACACCACAGCATTATTTTAAATAAACAAAGCTTCTCTATGGGAATGGTGAACTTACTTGAGAACCTGCAAAGCCATAGTCATCCTTTCCTTGCAGACTCTCCAATCCCTGGTCACCCTCTGGTTCCACACTGACATCCTCACTGAGCATTTCATCAGCTTTTTCAATAATTTCTCGTACTTGATCCACAAATGACTCTCTCTCCATTGCTAGAATAAAGTCATTGTTCACCTGCAGAAGAAATGTGATGTCAGTCTGATTAGGACAGTGTTACTCATGTTTTAAGTCATTCCAGTTGCCACTTATTCATGACTTTTGTCCCATCTGCATACAACCTGTATCATTATTTACTTGCTATGTAAGTTAGTTCTTCAATACCTAGAGTTAGACATGTCCTAGACAAAAATATCTCTAAATCACATGTTTGGTGTGCTAATTATATTCACGTTGAAATAAATACATAACTGTCAAAAGAGATTACAAAATACTGCACATTTTCTTAGGGCAGTGGATACTGAAAAAGTACTAAAGCAAAATCTGGAGCTTCAAATGCAGACATACCATAATTGTTGCTATCTCCTCAGGATTGTCACCATCTAAATCGAATTTGAATGTAACCATTTTCCGATTATGAGTCTCTAACTGACATTCTACTACCCGGTCTCCTTTATTTGAAACCTAAAAAGAAAAAGAAAAGGTACTTAATACTGCAGAAGCCATATTCAATGCTGTTACTGAATTTGAGAAAAGAATGCAGATTATAACTTGAACTTAAGCCTGATGTTACCACTTAAAGACTTGTTGGTACTTTACCTCTTAAACTGGTACAAGAAAACATTAAGAAAATACCAGCCCTTGCGCTACTTCCTCATCTTCCACTGAAGGGTCTGGAAGGAATGTAGTCTCTGTTCTACAAATTAAAACTCTTTTTCTAAAAGGTAAATAATGCCTTACTATAAAAATATGGAATTTACCAATATTACTGGGTGATTAGAAAATTTCAAACTTCCATCAATACACCTGAACCTTAGAAATATTTAAATGATATTAAGTAACAATACGAAACCCACAAATTAGTAAAACTTACATTCAAAATTCTTAATTTTGGACGTGAAGTCTTTTCATGACGAGAGCGACTTCTTACAGATTTTCGATAATGCCGTTTTGCAGTTCTCCCTTCATGCCTTCCACTGGACGATGGGACATTCTCATTGCCATCACTCATTCCTGAAGCAACATCTGAATGTGCACTTTGAAAAAAAAAAAAAAGTTAAGTGTTTAAAGGTTTAATATTTTGAAGTTTTAGATCATCCTACCTCCCAGGCAAAGAAGGAGAATTTTACTTTTACATACCTATCTATAGAAGAGACCAAAGTGGTAGGCTGTGCCTGTGCCACTGGAACTGGCTCTGGAGGGGCAACTTGAGAGACTCCCTGAGTACTCTGTAAATAGAAAGAATAATGCAAATCTTGGCAGTAATACATTTTATTTATTATTCATTATCTCCAATAAGCTACTCTTTTTTTCCTTATCCCCCCGCCTAAGTCCTAGAAGCACTAAATTTACTAGTAATTCTCAGTATTCAGCATCTAGAGACAGTGGTCTTAAAATTCCAAAGGAAGTTTCTAAAACTAAGTCTCTGGTACAGACTGCATGGTGTGACATTAGCCAACATAGCTGCTAGGTAGTGAGAAAGTACAACTTGCATGCAGCCAGCATCTTCCTAGAAGTGTGCAACAGGGCAGGCAGAGCAAAGTGCAAAGATGATTCAGATCTTTCTCCTAGTAGGGCAAAAATGATTACTGGGAGCACAGCAGGATAAGATACTTTTATGACTGCCAATGGCAAGACTTTGTGAAAGGACAAGAATAATGGCTAAAGTACTAGCTAGAGAAGTGAAGTGCTAATAGGGTTAATCTTCTCCAAGGCACACTCACTTCCCAACAGAACAGCCAGTGGCAACAAGGCCCCCACATTGGCATTTCATTCTGCTGGAAGAAAAAGTCATTTAGAAGTTAGTTTGAAAATAGTCCAACTGAGTTCTAAAACAGGGGAACCTATGTTTTTTCTTAGTCAAATTATCCCATGTGTATATATGTTTTATATATAAACATGCAGTAATTCCATTTACCTCCAGAGCTGCTTGCTGGGAGGATGTAGTGGGGGCTTGTTGTGCTAAACTCACTGCTGGCTGGGACACTTGAACCTGTCCTCCTATACTGCCCACAGAAACCAAAAGGTTTGATTCCACAAAAGGCTGCACCACTGTAGGAAAGTAACCCGGTGTAGCCAGTGCTTCTGTCGGCATGGGAGGGGATAGGACTGTAGAAGGGATGCAAATAGAAGCCACGCTGGAAGAGGGAGCAATATTTGAATCTCCTGGGTATTGTGGTGGCAGTCGAGGTGGAAAGCCCTGTGACAGAAATGAGGAAGGTGAGTTAGTGCAGGTTGGGTCATCAAATTAGCAAAACAGACATGCATAAAAAAACCCAACAAACAAACCAAACAAAACACCAAAAAAAACCCCCAAAACCCCAACAAAAAAAGAAAGCACACAGCAAAGAATAGTAGTAGCCCAATCTCTAATACTTTAAAGAAGATTTAAACATGATTCTTGAAATGGTAGACTGGTTTCAATTTAGGGGACAGTACTCTACAACTATAAATTGCTGGGTTTTCTCCTCCTGGAGATTAAACAGGAGGAACAAACATAATTTTTTTTTTTCTTAAAGATTTTATTTATTTATTTGACAGAGAGAGACACAGTGAGAGAGGGAACACAAGCAGGGGGAGGGGCAGAGGGAGCGGGGAGCCTGATGCGGGGCATGACCTGAGCCGAAGGCAGACGCTTAATGACTGAGCCACCCAGGCTCCCCCAAACATAATTCTTTTTAGAAAAATATCAACTTTCTAGGTAATCTTAAGTGGGAGAATGCAAAAACTCTTCAAGGTATCAGTTATTCTAGTCATATAACAGGATAATCTGAAGCTTTTTATTGGCTTCACGTTGGCTACTCTATTTACCCTACCTATAAAAAAGAGTACCCTGATATATTATTAGCCATATCTACCATTCAGTCAGCTTACATCAAATAGAGAGAACAGAACCATCTTTCTCTAAGAACTGTCTTGAGAAAAATGGAAATGAATCATCAAACATCATTACCCTATCTTTTCTCTGAATTTTACTCTATTAGCTTCTCTAGTTAATATCAGCTACACCTTTGTTATTGCTAGTTATTCTGATATTCAACTGTTAGGTTTTCAAGTCCTTGATGGTCTACTATTAGAACCAAACCCTCTGGTGCCCTCCTTTTTGCTAGCCAACACAATACCTGGTATAGAACATCTCCAGAGGGAAGTGGAACCTCAGCAGCTTGTCCAAGGTTAGCTGGTATTCCCAAGGACTGAACTGCTGGTTGCAGAAGTTGTGGGTGAACCTGACTTGGCAGCTGAGTCACAGGCTGCAGAAGGGTTGGAAGCTGACTAGGAACCACAGTTGGTCCCCCTGGGATCCCAGCTGCTGTAGCAGATGAAGCCAAGGTGAGCAGAGGCTGATTAATGCCAGCTGCCATCGTAATGGGAAGGGATGAGAAACCTGTCTGAGCCGCAGACACATGAGGAGTTGATATGGGAATCTGAGAGACAGGGTACTGAGGGAGTAAGGAAGTAGAGAGTGGCTGTCCCATAGGGAGGAAATGAGCACCAGAGTGGACTGGAACAACTGAGGGTTGTGTCGCAACTGGGATCTGAGGTTCGCCTTGGATAGTTGGTACTGGCTGGGAAACTGGAAGCTGGGAAGGTAAAGAAAAACAAAACAGACAGACTTTAAAAAAAAAAAAAAAAAGCAAGGCTGCCAAAAGCAAGATTTATGTATTAGCCAAAAAGAAGGAAAAAAAAAACAAACCCAAAACCCTGCATACATTAGTGTAAGTTAATTTGCCACACAAGAATAGGGAAAGGATAATAGGAGACAAAGAGGCTGACAGACTGGCTGTTTCAAATCTTCTGTTGTAGAAAATTTTGCTCATACTTCATCATTTAACAATAAAAAGAGGACACTTCCATAGGCAAAGGTTTTTTTGTTTTTTATAGATTTATTTAGATATATTTCACATACCCTAATCCTTTGGCATGTTTGTTGTCACTAAATCTATGACTGCTATTATAATAGTTACTGGAATTCAAATGAATTCCCTCTCCCTGGAATTAGATTCCAATCCATGTTGCTTCTACAATTCTGAAGCCTAACACTGGCCATGAAAGTAGGTATGAAAGTACTGTATTTCACTGATTCTAGGATGCAATCATCCCTCTCTACCACCTGGTCATTTTAACATTTGTGAAACTGAGATATATCTTGCAATTAATGGTGTGTCAGTACTTGGCTACATAAAATAATGGTGCATTTTACAATTATGTATCTGTCTGAAATGTGACAGAAACAATACACTGTGCCAAAATACAAGGACAAGTCCCAATGTTAAAGTTAAAAAAAGGTCATTCAATAGAATATACCTTCCAAAGGGCACTTTCCAAGTGGTTAGAAGGACAACTTAGAACAAACACCATTCCATATAAGGGGTTTTTATGACTTACTGTCAGTGGGCAATGGAGGAGGAAACAATGCATAAGTCTACACGAAAAATACAGCATAGCTGTAAACCTAGAATGTTAGATATAGCTGATGCAGTTCTAGAAAATGTTCAGGTTCAGTTACCAAAGCACTGTTATTTAAGCCACCAGTTCACATACCTGTCAAATGGACTTTAGACTAATAAACCTAAAAGTTAAACATTTTCGGATTGTGAATGCTGTCAGTATGTACCTATTTATATTAACCAATGCATATGCACAAAAGGAACAACTGTCAATTCATTTCTGGGGTGAATATAACCAAATGTGGTATTTCACCATTAGAGAAGATAGAAACCTATCCATGAAAAAAGTTATATGGAGATTCGTTTTTAGCATCTATTTAGAAATTGAGAGTTTACCTGTTTTCCAGCTGATACTTGAGGCAAGACCTGTGGAGCTTGAGACTGACTGACTGGTTGTGCAGTAGTGGCCTCACTGGAGGCTGATGTCTGTGGAAGTGAATACTGCACTGTCTGTTGAGGAGGGGCTGTCTGCTGTACTCCCTGCTGCTGAAAATAAAATAGAATTATTCAGTTTTATTTCAAGTCATTAATGGCATGGGTCAAAGGAAATATGTTTGCCTAAGGTGTTCTGTATCTGTAAATGACAATATTAGTAATCAAGACATGCATAAACCCAAATTCATCAATTCCCCTTTACATTTCTCTTTTTCCTCTGGTATTCTTTGTTTGTGATGGTACAACCAAGAGCAATTAACCAATGTTTCATAATTTGAGTCACCATTGGTTCTTCACCTATCATCCCTCTTACCTCAATAGCAGGTCATTCACAAAGACCTTTAGATAACATATCCAAAGAGATCCTCTCTCCTCGAACCCCCGTTCCCCATTTTTTTCACCCTATTTCTTGGTATCACCTCTCACACTTTAGTCCTATGTTAAACAAATCCAATCTCCTACTTTAATCTTTCTTACTGTATTTTATCAACTGTGTAGCTAATTTGAAGAATAGCTCTGATTACAGCTATTGAGAATACTGAGAAAAGCACTGAATGTGGAAATTCAGCTTTACCATTTACTAATTGTAGTACCTTAGAGACTGCTCATTTTACTGCCAAAAGGTATTTCCTTCTTTGAAAATAACACTATCACTCAATTCAAAGTAGGACAAAGGGAATAAGTGACATTTAGGAATCAACCATGTGCTAGGCATTCTAGTATAATACACTTAAACTTAACGCATGGCATATAATTATAAATTTTGTAATAGATTAATGGCTCTCACTAGCCCAGCAAAAATCTGAACTTCATAGCTGACTTTCAAGACTCTCTTACACCTACAAGTAATTTAAAATCGTTATTAATACAAAAACAACAGCTATTTGTAATAAAAAATTTACCTATCAGATTATCAAGTAAAATGAAATACCCTAGCCCCATACTCCAGAAGCAAACTATTAGTGGTTTGGTCATCACCTTTATGGATTTTTCTCTACATCTAAGTGATCATTTTTAAAAAAAGATTTTTTTGACAGAGGAGGAGAGTGCACATGCACAAGCAGGGGGAGTGGGAGGCAGAAGGAGAGGGAGAAGCAGGCTCCCCACTGAGCTAGGAGCCCGACATGGGGCGATCCCAGAATCCTGGGATCATGACCTGAGTTGGGCAGACGCTTAACCGACTAAGCCACCCAGGCACCCCTGTAAGTGGTCATTTACACATAATGACGTTGTTTTCAAAACAAAAGCGTGCCCATTCTATAAATACTGTTCTCTAACATGCTATTTTCATTTATCAATGGCATCAATATCCTAAAAATGAACATTTTGGTTAATTTTTTTCTTTTGTTACTTAAAATAATGCTGCAACCAGTAGCCTTTTACATATATCTTGGTCTATACAACTAATTGGCTACTGCTGGTAAAAAGATAAGCTATTTGTTTCTATGTGTGGGTATATATAAAAATAAATTTAATTGACATATAATGATTCAATATATATATTGTGAAATGATCTATCACCACACAGTTACAATTTTTTTCTTGCAATGAGAATGTTTAAGATCTACTCTCTTAGTAACTTTCAAATATACACTACTATAGCAACTATAGTCACTATGCTATACATTGCATCCTCAGGACTTATTTTTATTTGTTTTATATGTATATTATGAATCTGGCCACCTTCATGAACATCCTAGATTTTGTTAGATGATAACGTGCAAATAAGATTTTTGCTCTCCTGATATTTCTTACTTTGTTCTTATTGTATCAATTAAAATCACCCCCCAAAATGCTGAAACACGATGGTGACAGCAGTCATATGTTTGTTTTATTAATTTTTTCTGACAACGTATTCTTATTTTAACTTAAATCAGGAGCAAATGGCTACCGAATTATGTGACATTTATTTTCAGCAACTAAGATATGTCATATATATCCCAATATAAGGCAACTCTGAATATAAAATAATTTTCCATATTTCCACTAAGAAAGAAACTAGAAAATCTTTTTGGTCAACCTGAATATATTTTAACTTTAAGGAATTTACACTGCAACACTACCATTATGTAAGTCATTAATTTACACACCTAAATAAGATGGCACATTACATAAATGCATTAACTTAGAACTATTGCTCCACCTCTCTCAAATTCTTCCCACACAATACAGCAGTCTCTTTATCTTCATTGCAGCTATACTGTGAAGCCTCTAGTTTTCTGGAGCATAGCAAAATACTTTCCCTGTAACTTGTGTCTTGAGGTAAAATTTGCAGTGACAAGCATCATGAATAATATTAGGACAGCTGTTAGGGCACTTGGATGGCTCAGTCAGTTGAGTGTCCGACTCTTTTTAAAGATTTTTTTGTTTTGTTTTTCAACAGAGAGAGAGACAGCAAGAGAGGGAACACAAGCAGGGGAAGTGGGAGAGGGAGAAGCAGGCTTCCCGCGGAGCAGGGAGCCTGATGTGGGACTTGATCCCAGGATCCTGGGATCATGACCCGAGCCGAAGGCAGACGCCCAATGACTGAGCCACCCAGGCACCCGAGTGTCTGACTCTTGATTTCAGCTCAGGTCATGCATGATCTCAGGGTCATGGGATTGAGCCCCACAGCAGGCTCTGCACTCGGTGGGGAGTCTACTTAAGATTCTCTCCCTCTCCCTCTGCCGCTCCCTGCCCCTGCTCTCTCTAAAATAAATAAATAAATCTTAAAAAAAATACTAGGACAGCTGGATTTTTTTTTTGCTTTTGTCTTACAGGTTTATATTCATGTAATCTTTGTATTAACTCCTTAAAATGATCTTTAAGCAAGTTGTTTACAATGACATATAGAACCTGGAATAGTCAAGTTGTTCTCCTAAGAATAAGGACCAAATCTATGTTTAACTTCTTGGCTTTTATTTTAAAACCAATTCTGTCAGATACTGTCTATAAACATTTCCAACTACATATACTATTTTAAGGTCCTTACAGGCACATGTGTTTTCACGTTTTATTTTATTCCATTAACAGTTTTTTTTTGGTTATTGTTCAAAATAAAGGACAACGAAAGCCTGTAATATGGAAGTATGATAAAGGTTTAAATATATGCTGATTCCCTTCCTTATTAAGGGAAAGGGGAAAATTTGAGGAAAAAATTCCCACATTATACATGGGCGTATGATTACCTCTCTCACCCCTATTAATGCAGAACCATGCTTACATCAATATTTGGACTCAATCAGCTCTTCTATGAACCTTATATTCACTTATTTATGTTCTAGCTAAACTGAACTAAAAGGTTTGTTTCTGTCTTGAGTTTTTCTACCTTTGTGCTTTTTCTCTTGCTTACACTGTTCCCCCTTCCCTTTTGGTCTAGAATATTCTTTATTCTTACATCTGAGTTTAACTTATAATCAGTGTCCAGTTTAAATGCTATCTCTTGGGGTGCGTGGGTGGCTCAGTCGTTAAGCGTCTGCCTTCGGCTCAGGTCATGATCCCAGGCTCCTGGGACTGAGCCCTGCATCGGGCTCCCTGCTCGGTGGGAAGCCTGCTTTTCCCTCTCCCACTCCCCCTGCTTGTGTTCCCTCTCTCACTGTGTCTTTCTCTATCAAATAAATAAAATCTTTAAAAAAAATGCTACCGCTTTCATAAAGCCTTCTTGATATCCTCCCTCCCTGCATGAAAGTGATGTAATTTATCTCCTTTTATGTCATAAATGGGATGTAGTTAACCGGTGCGTTGTGGAGTTAGGCAACTTGGATTTAAATTATTTCTACCTCTTATAAGTTGTGTAAGCTTGGATAAATTACTCTTTTCCAGATCTTATCTCAGCCTTCCCATATGCACAATGAAAATAACAACAGTACACTTATAGGGTTCATATAAGAATTAAATAAAAATATAGGCAAAGTGCTTTGCACATTGAATATAATCTTACCTACTACACTTATTTGGTTTCTTTATTTTTAAAGATTTTATTTATTTATTTGACAGAGACACAGTGAGAGAGGGAACACAGCAGGGGGAGTGGGAGAGTTTGGAAAAGCAGGCTTCCCGCTGAGCAGGGACCGCGATGAGGGGCTTGATCCCAGGTCCCTGGGATATGACCTGAGCCGAAGGCAGACGCTTAACGACTGAGCCACTCAGGCGCCCCACACTTATTTGTTTTGTAGCAGTTGACAGATATGTTTACTAGATTATTAAGTAAGCTGGGTTACGGCCTATATGGTGTATGGCAAAGAAATACTAAGTTTTCTAGTAGGAGGAAGCTATTTTTTGGTACCTCACTGAGATATAGTATAGCACTAGAAAGGACTCTTGATAAAAACATGAAAAAAGCAATCCCTTATTGGTTACATTCCAGAAACCCATGAAATAAAATAAATTTTAGCTAAAGTACTTTTCTTTCCTCACTCTAATAAAACTAGAGATATGGTTTCGTAAGATGGGGTTGGAAACTGATAGTATGTAAAGTGAAACTCACCTCTAAAAATAAACACCTGGGGTGCCTGGGTGGCCCAGTTGGTTAAGCGTCTGCCTTCAGCTCAGGTCGTGACCCAGGGTTCTGGGATCGAGCCCCAAGCTGGGCTCCCTGCTCAGTGGGGAGCCTGCTTCTCCCTCTCCCTCTGCCTACCCTTATAGTACAAAGGGCTTACAACCTTTTAAAAAATATACATGAAACCGCAGTAGCTGAAACAAATAAATGCAGCTTCTTGAGCACCTCTGCAGAATCAGAAGTCCCTGTAGAACTTTAATACAGAAAAAACCCTAACTATTCTAGAAATGTTGAATTCTGACTTGTAGTTTTTAGTTCTATCCACTTACTATGTAATCAAAAAGTGAAGTATTCTAGACTGCATATATTTATGTAAATTGAGGGCTCAGTTTTATGGTCCTACTCAACTTAAACACCATCCTATATTTAAAATAATTCACAAAATAAAACTATCTTAAAAAAGCATCACTGACACATAAATTTTTTATTATAGCAATAGCCATATTTACATTTTTTTCCAGAAGTCAACTAATTCTTTTAGCCTGACATTTATGGAATTGCCCTCTTTTACCACCACACTGCCCTCCTTTACCCCCACATATTTTTCTTACCAATGAACTAATATCTTCATTTGCTAGTAAGTATACATATATATGCCCACATATAAGATATATAAGAAATTCCTTTAGAAAAGGAAAAACACAGCACACAAATTTGCTCAGTTTATTAGTGTTGGCCTGTGTCCAAAGATACAAACGAGGACAGTGGTATCCATGATAGTGCTTCTGTCCTCAAACATCTTTATGTAACTTTTAATTTGTATTTTATTTTTTAAAGTTGGCTTCATGTCTACCACGGAGTCAATGCAGGGCTTGAACTTAACGGCCCTGAGATCAAGACCTGAGCTGAGATCAAGAGTCAGATGCTTGACTGACTGAGCCACCCAAAGGACCCTTAGTTTGTATTCTTATTAGGGATTATTAATACAATTAAAATAGAATTTGTTAAGGTTGTCAAAAATATGACTACTCAAATTTAACTATAATTATATACAGATTCTGCTACTTGCCTGAAAGAACAAAAGCAAGACAAAGCAAATTCTAGAAGACAGGGCTGTTGGTCACCAAATAAATGAACATATAACCAAACTAATCCTGTACAAGGAACATTTAATCTTAAACTAGTATCAAATGACTGTATGATCACATGCTGGACTAGAAGGAGACTATTTCGTAGTAAGAATTAAAAGCATTGTTTAAAAAAATTAACAGAGAAACTAATTTATGATTTGGTGGTTGGAAAACACTTCGTAGAGAAGTATCAATGAAATAGTTCATCTTCGGAAGTTTTTATGACACATGTAGTGACTATAAATTTTATTTGAAACAGTTAATATTCAGTAGTGCCAAAAAAGCATTATGCCCATGCAAATAATTACTATTAACTAATATAAGTACTGAACTACACATGTTTAATTTTAGAATTAGTAGTTTTGCTGTTGAATACATCAGCACTGTACTAATTTTCTGAGCTCCTTGAACCCTGGGGAATTATATTCCCCAAATCAAAAGTTTAAACAATGTTTAAAAAGTTCTTAAAGTAGTTGTTCAGTTTCTCTTAGCATAAAATCTTATACCCCATCCCAGATTAGAAATAATTAAATAGGAGTTTAGCATTAATAGAGTCAAATACAATGAAAGCAATGGCAAAATGCTCATAAAGGGGTAAGTCACAAATATAAAAACAAAATTGATATTCTTTGTATTGTTAATTATGTGTAGAATCATCTATTTCAGATGGCAGAGGAATAATATATCAGTTAACAATGATTCCTTTGAATTTCAATGCTATGTCTAATTTAGTAATTTAAAAATACATTAAACAAAAGATTTTCTAAAATCTTTTTAGAAACACAAGAACATAAGAAATGTTATGCCTCTTGATTTTTCTTTCAAAAACATAGCAAGCCTTTATTTACATCAGGAATCTAATTCATGAAAAGATGTTAAACAGTGTTTTGGCTACTGTTAATCCGTAAAATGTAGCAATGAGTTGTTCTCACCTGCTGAGAATGTTGTATGGGTAGGGAAGATGGAACCCCTGTTAAGTTACTTGAGGATGGTTGACCCTGGCTTTGCCCCTGTGCCTGAAGGAAAGAAGTGAATACAACAAATTAGCAAAGCCCTACGTAAGTATACAGAGAGGTCAGGCTTTTCCAATAAATATTTAAACTCCTGAGAGTTTGCTTGAGCAAAATAAAATATTAGCTTGATTAAGTATGTATGGGAGAGACCACTGGGGCATCTTTTGTAAGAAAAGGTTAGAGAAGGATTACATCACAGAGCATATCCTGATCCCACACAAAAACCACTCATGGTTAAAACCTACTACTGCTGTGCTCCGGCTATAATTTTACCTGGCCAAAATACTAAAATTCATAATAAAATTCTTACTGAAAATATAATAATTAGGAAAAGAGTAGTATGACTACCGATGTGAAAAAATTCCGTATCTGAACAATTGAACACAAAAGGGTATTTGATAATGCTAATTTGGTTCCTTTTGCTACTTCTTGTAGGGCCATGGTGACTTTTACCAAAAATGTAAAAAACCTGTTATTTGCCCTCCCAGGGATCATTTGGTTGTCACAACTGAGGGAGGTGACTGCTACAGACATCTAATGATTAGAAGTCAAGGATGCTGCTAAACATCCTGCAACACACAGAACCACAACCCACAACAAAGAATTATCCAACCTAAAACATCAGTAGTGATGAATTTGAGAAACCCTGACGTAGAAGTTGTCTAAGTTAAGATAAATGAGAAAGTGAGAAATGAATACAGGATTTTATATAGTAAGTTAAGGAAATGAAAAGGCCCACCTGTGGTGTTCCATTTCAGTCTAGAGGGGTTTCTCTGAAGCTTACTTGGATCTGACGTCACATTCTACTGCAGCTTAACCACTACTTAGTATGCATTCTTCCTGCAGTAGGTTTGTAAATTAACCACCTGATATTTCACTTTGGAATGTTTAAAGAAGAATGGCTGGCAGTGCATTAGAATTTATAGTACAGGCTAACAACTAGTGCATTAATGTGAGTACACTGCATGCAGTGTAATTTTATACCATGCAGCATAATTTTCAAGTTTCTGGATCTTTTTGCTTCTTAGAACTATTCTAAATGACGGATACTTTATGTACACTTTTGGGGTTATCTGTGCCCCTTATGAGAGAAGAACATAGGAAGAAAGTATCAAGAACATATAATACTTTGTAAGAGTTGAAAATTTAGAAGATCCAAATGATGCTTTGAATATATAATTGGAAAGACTCCTATATAGATTTTGTAAGACTTATATATTTGATAAAATATATGGAATATTATGAAATAGTTAATACTGACTCCACTTGTTGAATTCTATTATGACCACTACTTTGTCTTTATTCACAAGAGAGTACATACACCCATAAAAAAAAAACAAAACCCATATATATAAATAACAAAATTTAATTTGTTGAGGAAGGAACCAAGGCCTGAGATATGTTTCTTAGCTTGCAACATATATCACAAATTCTTAAAGAAACAAAACAAAAACCCACCACCCACACTAGATTATAACTTAGTTGCTAAAAATTACAATCAATTTTATGGATTAACATTTTATTTGGACATATACAGTGACTTGTTCAAATGATGCCATTTTAAAAGGCATTTTCATTTGTTTCTAAATTCTTAAGATGTTTCCTTTCTTTCAAGATTCTTCCACACTTACGAAAATTTTGTGTATTCTTAATACTCTTAAAAAAATTTCCCTATTTTCCATTCTTTTTGTTTTACAGAAAAAAGAGGTTATCCTTTCTATTTTTAAAAAAAACTAGTCATGTTTGTTCTAGGGAGAAAGAAATACTTCACATTAGCATTTATAAATAATGCGGAGTTAACTTTATATTACAGCCATTTACATTTTCACTACAAGTTGAAATTATTCTATGTACAAATAGAACTGATTTTGACGAGTGATTAAAATTCTAGTTTTTGTGTTCTCTTTTTCAAGGGTTTGCGCATATTATAGGTAAACGAAGCAGCTTCTATTTTGTTCTTATATACAAGTAGTTTATAATCCCCCCCAAAAGGAGAAACTCTACTAATAAAATTAAAAATAATCCTTATAAATGGAAAGGAGGGATAGAAAACTTAAATGTAACGATGCATAGTAGGGTAGTTTAAAAGAACTGTGGAAGTTTTCCTATAACCTGTGGATGGAGTGCAGATCCTCCTGAAGAAAATGAGGCAGATAAAACCTGCTGAGATGTGGTTCCTTGGGGGAAACAGAAGAAAAGTGGGGATTCTTGGAACATTGTCTGAGGCAGATGGATAAAGGGTAACGAGACGTCAGAGCCAAAAGGTGCAGCTGCTCCCCCTGTAGGGGGAGGTGACTGAAAATCACTGGGGTCTGATGAAGTAATTTGTGAGGAATCACTGGAATATTCTGGGCTTCCTATTGGCCAGTTCTGTCCGATAGGCTCTACCACAGAAACGGTCAATTCTGGGGCATGGTAATTACGCTGTTCTTCAGTCACAGGCTGTAGGCGGCCATGTAATCCAACTGATTGAGGAGGTGGTTCTTCCTGATTCAAGTCCACTGCAACCTGTCGATTTCGGTAAACACGCTGAGGTAAAACTCCTCCTCCTTCTCCTGAAGAGGAGCTTGGAGTGTGAACATGAAACTCAAATACACAATTGCTTCTCTCATTGTTACGAGTTAACACAGCGGGTGCAGAATGAGGAACAAAGACAGGGTGAAATTTCAAACGTGTAGCATCTGTACTGATAGGTGCAGAAATACTAGAGAGGGGAGATCCTGGACTCAATCCAGAATCTAATCTTAAATTCTGAAGGTGTCCTACCAGGAAAGCCTGTCCAGATGGAAATTCAAAGACAGAACTTGAGGTAGGGCCCCCTTGTACTGGCTTCTGTTCAGGTATCTGTTTCATAGGACTTGACAGTACTGGTGAGTTGTATGGAATACCCTCATACTGTTCTGTCACCTGGGCCTGGTAAGCTAGATACACTGCTTCCTGAGGAATAAAATAGTGAGCTTCTTCTGGAAGTACTAGTCCAGGTCTATAGTCACCGTGAACTTGAGTTGGTTCAAACATAGGATGGACCTGTATCTCACATGGCTCTCCAGTTATCCTACTGGCTGTAGTGCCCAACATAACTACAGCCTCTGGTGTCCAGTTAGTTGGGCTGCCACCAGGTGGAAGAAGATTTTGGCCAACAGTCCTCAGCAGGGGTTGGAACTGGCGAGTTTGGGCTTCCAAGAAGGAGGTGCTCTTACGCCGCTGGGAAATGGCCACCTTCGGTGGACAGGTGGGAGGTGGTGAAAAAGAAACTGGACGTTCATGAATAGTTGGGAAAAATATCTGTGATTCTGGGTATGTTGGGGTCCCCCCACACGGATGCGCCATGGACTGAGGCTGTATCAACATGAATAAGACAAGTAATTCATACATTCATATGTGAAATTACAGTAGTCATGCAAAACTGGGTCGCTCTGTGTAACCCTATGAAATGGTTACACCAAATTTATAATTAGTAAAGAAATAACAATGCTTTTGGAAATTATGTGCATAGTAAAAATCCATTAAATACATCCAGGGTCAATAAAATTATTCTGTGGGACTCTTTGCATTAGATAAGAGCTGCTTTTCCACATCCTCTCTCAAAGGAAATGGAAGAACTTTCTAAGTGTTTATTCTGTTTTTACCCTCAATTAATATGCTCACTCTTAAGATTTAATGTAAATTACACGAGTGGAAACAGAGTTAAAATAGTAAGAGTTAAGGGAAGACAGACAATAAGACAATATAATCCCAACATTTTTAAAATGGAAGATACTTCAATTTAACCTGCAATACAAAGTTTTCCTATACTCTATCTTCTTATTATCCGGTGCTGTGTTAGAGGCTTTTATCAACTAATAGTATGCCTTCTAACTAGAAATCAAAAGAGGTATTTTTGGTGGACAGCAAAAAACACACTACTGACAGTAATGTCCTTTTCCCATCTATCCCAAACTAGATGCAGTTAATTTTACTACATGAAACATGTTGCAGATGCGAAATCACTGAATGTCCACTTTTCTGATCCTAGTTAAGGGTTGAACAATTTGGTGTTCAAATCAAGCGAAAAGGGTAATATAATTAACACTGATTTAACAGCACTTTTTATTTACAGAGGCAGTTCTAGACATAAGACTCTAAATTTAGAATCCTACCTTCCCAAATGCAAACAGTGTACTTTCATGGACTCTTTTTTAAAGAGTAGATTGGTTTCATTCTTTTAGTAGGGATGGTCCCTATCAAATTAGTAAAATAGCTTAACTCTTACCTCTTCACAACAGCTAAAAGAGGGCCTCTATTTCAAACCAGAATGTTCCATTTTACTGTTTATTCAAGGAGAATCCCAAAGCCATAAAATACTATATAGTTACTCTCTTAAGTAAAAATCTGAAGATTTTGGTATTACTAAATCAGAATATTAACTATATTCTCTATCTGGAAAAGCAGTAGCAAGGTCCCACAGTGTTTAATAAAACTTTAAAAGACAGATCTTTTATAGATATAAAAAGGGCCAAAGAAAATCTTATGTACTACATGTGTATCCAATGTATTCATTAGGGTCAAGATCCCACCTTATTCAATCTAAGAGAAAAATTTCCACAAGGGAACATATGGCCTTTTAGTTTGCCAACACATCATTTTAAACAGCTAACAAATTAAAAACCAACTTTCACTCTTTAATTACTCTTCACTACGGGGAAAAAATGGACTCATCCAGCTTCATGAATGTCTCTTTAGAATAAAGTGAAGAGAAAATGTATTTGGGTTAATTGCTGATAAAGAGAAAATTTGCTTTTAAGTCAACAAATTTAAAATGAAGTAATACGCATTCTTCACTAATGTATGAAAATGCAAGGATTTGTATAGGTCAGTTGGGGATAGGAGAATATAATGAAAGCTAAATTTTATTGTGTACATATTCATATGTGCCCAGGGTGTTATTAGCATTCTCTCTCATTACCTCCTTGCTTTTTTTCCCCTCCTTAAAGCCTTGTAACAAGAGTTTCCTATAGGAAGAACAGGTATCCTAAAAGCATAATATATTACTAAGTGTAGTCCTTTTATTTATTTAATTTTTATTAAAATTCTTGATGCCTGGATGTATTCATTGGCAATAAATTTTCATTTGTCAGGAAGTTTATGGTTACATACAGTACTGACAAAGAGGGAAGGCAGGCTGGAGCGTCGGTGCTTGCGCTGAGAGGCAGAGTGCATAGGCAGGACACTCTCCAATGCTTTAGAAAGCTTTTCGGCAAAAGTTTCCTCAGGGGCAATCCGAAGGAGGGAGGGAGAAAGAGGTGCAGACAGCACTGGTGGTGGGGTGGAAGGAGCACTGGGAGAGATGCGGGACAGAGGGGGAACAGCAGAAAGATGGGGAACACAAACTGACATGCTACGGCCACGACGAGGCTAAACAGAAAACAAACACATACATGAAAACCACAGTACTTTGAAAACAAAATAACCAAATGTACGATGAAAATAGGGCATAGCTGACATAAAGAAGTGTTCCATCCTCCCCCAATCCCACAAATCCAATTTTTTTGAGGAGAGGTATAATTCCACAAAGCAGATCACAACTATTCTCTCTATACTGTTGGTCAAGTACAGGTTATCAACAACCATGATAATGATCAATTCTCTTCCTAAATATTCTGAAATAACATCAATTGTTATGAATGTATGAATAAGAATGGCTGACTGACTGAGGTAGTAGAACAGGGAAAACAATGAACATTGACTTGCAGTTTTCTGCGAACTTATTATTATAAGGTGTAGAAGACTTTAACACTGGATTACTTTGCAGGAACTCTGGAAAACCTCAGAAAATCTTTTTCAATTCTATTTTAGAAGGCATCAGACTAAAAAAAGTTGTTGGCTCAGAGTATTTTATTTATTTCACTTCCTATTTTTATCTGTAAAGGGTAGAAAGTCATTTTCTAGTAGGAAAAGCATTAGTTTTCTAGAAGTAATGCGCGATATAGACACATTCTGTAGTTTTACTAAAGTAGTGAATGGAAAATTATCTTGAAATTGAATCTCTAAAGAGTAACTTTAACAATTTTTCGGCGTATCAGAGATTCAACTTAGGTTTATAAAGTCTGAGGCACCTTAACATAAAAATTTTAATATAGCTACAAAAAAGCAGTATACCTAATACTGTAAGGTTGTGCTGAGCAAACTCGTTATTCTCCTTTAGGTATTGTGAACTGTGTCACTAGTCATGTTTTCTTTTCCAAAATTGGCTGCATAGAATGCTTTGAGCCAAATTTGTGGCTCAAATACCAGTAGCAAGTACGAAAGTATCATTATACTTATCATACTTAATTCATTCCTGGTTCTATTTTTCTCTACCCTTGTTTCTTTTTTACTCTAATTTTTCTAAATTCCACATTGATATATTATTGTAAGCCACAATAAATTCTTTCTGGAATAAGAAAGAAATGGAATCATAAGATTAAAAAAATCCTCAATATTTGATAACTCTTCTCATGCTACCTCCACAGAAATTAAAAGGCAAGGCCGTCATTAAGTCTTTTAGAGCATCAATAAATACAGGATGTTTGTGGCTCAAATATTTAAAATCTTCACAAATGATCATTCTATTTCCTTTTCTAAAATACAGACACCAGTGATGAGGGAAGCAAGAGATTAGTTTTTAAAAAATCTAGTTATTATGATCCACAAAAAATCAATTAGAACAAGAGTAGAAATGGACATGAATGCTGACCAATTAGATGTCAGAACAAAGAAATACATCTACATAGTCTTTTTAAGTTCTTCTACCCTACCTATTTTAAAGGTCAGAAAAGTAGATTGTTAAAACAGTGTATTAGTAGTTTGTATTACTGTGGCCATTCATCTCAAGACTGATGAATGGACTCTGAAACATAAAAACATCTTTTATTTCAAGCTGTAGGTTAAAAGAACAGAGCAAGCAGAAATTTTTTCTTGAGAAAGATTTTCATTTAATGAAAAGCAGAAGTTCCATAACATTCAGATTTAAAAGCTTTCTGAGAAAGAAAAAAATCTACCTGCTTAAAGATCTCACTAAACAAGTGCTATACAGTGACCAGTTGTTCTCCAATTCTTTCCTGAGGCGGATGATGTACTTTATTTACCTCTGAAGACTTCACGGAGGGTCAACAAAAGAAACGGGGTATTACCCGAGATCTATTTTAACATTTTCTATATGAGAAGCAAAAGTGGCTAATGTAAAAGATGGGGCTGTGTGTGTGTGTTTATGTATATATAAATGCTTAAAATATTTCAAGAAATAATCTCCGTAAGTTGATTCTGAAAATAAATCTGTAATAAAACAATACCAAATAAAGAGAAAAAGCAAATGAATGTATACTGGGGAAGGAATTTGTGTCCAACACAGACTTTAAGGCAGGAACACGCATAGCAACTGATGGTTAACTAAACACAAGCGCTAAATTAAATGGTCATACAAATAAAGGATTCCTTCACTCTGAAGTACTCACATGCAGCATTCTATAATGGTTTGAACGTCTTACCTTTGTTCTATACAGTAAGAAATCTTACAAAAAATGCTCAGTAATTCTTTTAGTAAGTAAGCTTTTGAAAAGTCTCCTTGTGCCCACCTCCAAATCATCTGTATGTCCAACTAATGCTGTTTTGAACAGTTTCAACTCTAAAGTGCTAAAGAGAGCATTATCTTTAATCAAATACAGATTAGTCTAAATCTTGTACATAGTTTCTTCACATGTGAATTTTAGCTAATTCTCACACAGTAATGTTTATATCCTAGCCTGCCAGAACTACTCTAACTGTACCCCTATTTCCTTCAGAAATATACCATTTATACTTTCTACTTCAGACTCATGCTATTACTTGGATAGTAGAAAGAATATGAATTTAACATGTATCTATTCTCATTATAGGCTTACACTCTCTCATGCAGTTACTTACCACACTTGAGGGTGGATAGACCCCATGGGGCTGAGACTGTGCTTGGACAACAGAAGCTGTATGCCCTGGGAGTGTGCCAGTAGAATGTGCCTGTTCATGCTGGGACCCATATGAAATTGTCTGTTGGCTGCTCACTCGAGATTCTGTGAAGACAGAAGATCCTTGACCACTGTCAACCGTTCCGTCAGCTGAAGGAGAAATAAATTGTCAAAAAACAGAGAGACAAATCACAAAAGGGAGGTTTATATTTTCCCATCACAAACCCATGACTTTAGGGTTAATTAGTTTTTTCTTCGCAAAGACCTGACCTAAATAAAAAATGAATACTAGTTTTTAACTAAGTAGATTTCTATGCTTAAAAACATGAAGGATCCATATGGAAAAAAAGGATGTCTTTAAAAAAAAACAAAAAGCTTCATGGCTATCATAGACTCTTATTACCTGAAGAATAAGGGAAATAAAACGGAATGCTGTAAGCCATCAGTCTTAACTTTGGAGACCAGTGCATTCTTTGTATTAAGCAGATAGTTCAATAAAAAACTAACAACCTCATTCATTTCTAGTCTATATGTTATTCAGTGTTGCTAAAAAAAGATGAACCAGACTAATGGGTTCAATTACAAATAGCTAAGATAAACTTGTTCATTTTTTATTAGTTACATTTCATTTTATTTATTTTTGTAGATTTTAAGTTTTTAAAAAAGTTAGTAATTAAATCCCAGTTAGTTAACATACAGTGTAATACTAATTTCATAATTACATTTTATTTTAAGGAATCGTGAAAAGTAAAAATCTACAAATTGGAACTTCCAAGATGTTGGAACCTGTAAAATTATTTTCTATCCTAATCACATTTCCTTACTGTTCTGTCCTTCTAGTCTATTAGTGATGGATGTTAGAATAGAAACAAAAAGTAGATGATGATCATTTCAATTTTTTTTTTTTTTAAGATTTTATTTATTTGACAGAGAGAAACACAGCAAGAGAGGAAACATAAGCAGGGGGAGTGGACGAGGGAGAAGTAAGCTGCCCGCGGCGCAGGGAGCCTGATGTGGGGCTCAATCCCAGGACCCCGGGATCATGACCTGAGCAGAAGGCAGATGCTTAACCATCTGAGCCACCCAGGTGCCCCTCAAATTTATTATATGGTGAATTCATGATTCAAACCAAGAGGCCAGTGCAAAAATGATGAACAAGAAGATGAAAAGTCAATTAGGAGTATCCTTAGCATACTTATGCACTTCCCAAAATACTTACACAACACAGATATACTAGTTTGTTGGTACTGTAGTTGTTGATGTTGATCTGCCTCAGGTTCTTCAGGTTCTACTTGCGTAGAAACTGAAGCTGAAGTGGTAGAAGCAGTAGGCATGCCAGTGCTGGCAGACGGGATCTGTTTGACTCCTGCCTGGGAAGTACTTGATTGTTGTTCTACCTGCTGTTTGAGACTGCTCTCTTCCTGCTTTCTTTTTTCTTGCTCCTCCCGCACCAACTGCCGCTGTTCTCGTTTCCTCTTAATTAATGACACTCTATCTTTGATGGCTTTTGCCATGGTCTTGTGATCACCTTCACAGACATACCCAGACTCTACCTACAGGATAAAAGAGTGCATTAGGAAGCAGTATCATATCAAAAGAAAACAAACCAAATATAAAACAAAAAAGGCACCTTTGGGGAAAAAGTAGGAAGAAGGGGGAAGAGAAAGACCTCTCCAATGACTGGTCTTAACCAAACTGTGAAATTACTTGTCTGTATTATGCATTTCTCAACCGTTTTTGTAGATACTCACGGGATGGGCGCCATCATCTTTGTAGAAACTTTGTAGGAACTCAAGGTAGTTATACCTTCACTTCTTACAACAATAAAACAATAAGGCTCCTTTTATTCTAGTCACTCTATTTCCTGCTCACATGTAACTATTAATATTAACCTGTGTTGTTTTTACTTCTTTTCCCTAGCCAACAACTTAACCAGATAAAACAATTGTGATCAATACATGAAAGTTAAAAAAACATACACACACAAATCTCTAAAGGTATAAAAAACTAACAATTAAAATAAGTATCTCTTTCATACCTGACCCCTTCTCAGAGGCAACTTCTATTGAATAGTTCTTATAAATTCTAGTAGAGATATTCTATGAGTATCTCTGCATATTAACTGGCTATTTTAAGCACTATCGCAAGCACAAAATTGGTGAAGTCCTTCTTTTCTGAAAAGTCACCTTCTGGATATACTTCATAAAATGATTAATCAAAGGCTGCCTACTAATAATTGATCTTGAAAACTCCCTCAAAGTAAAAACAATTCATTATCTATTTATAGAGTTTATCCAAATGACTGATCAAATGTATCAATATTTAGAAAATATAACTTGTCATTCTAACTCAATAGGTTTATATAAATTAAGAGTCATTCAATCTCATAGACTTTCACATTACTTCAGGATGCATTCCAGATTTACCCAGCCATCCACCTATCCATCCTTACATATCTACATGTATATATCTTTTCCTCAATTAAAAATAACTTAGGGCCATTAATCAACACAATCTTCTATCATTGAGATCTGCCATCCACACTGCTTCATAAACTTTTTAGCTCAACAATATAAATGTTTATAAATATACATCAATTTTTAAATGATGGATCAATGCTAATTTATCATTTTTTAAATTTAAATTCAACTTAATTAACATATAGTGTATTATTAGTTTCAGAGGTAGAATTCAGAGATTCATCAGTTGCATATAACACCCACTGCTCATTCCAACAAATGCCCTCCTTAATGTACATCACCCAGTTACCCCATCCCTCCACCCACCTCCCCTCCAGCAACCCTCAGTTTGTATTCTATAGTTGAGTCTCTTATGGTTTGTCTCCCTGTTTCCATCTTATTTTTCCTTCCCTTCCCCTATGTTCATCAGTTTTGTTTCTTAAATTCCACATAAGAGTGAAATCTTTGTGATATATGTCCTTCTCTGACTGACTTATTTTGCTTAGCATAATACCCTCTAGTTCCATCCATGTTAATTTACCATTTCTTGAGCAACATCTTCTGGCACATCTCTTTCCAAGTCAAAGGAAAACTCAATAGCTTCATTGTCTTTGTATTTTCCCTTTAATTTCTTAATATCTTCAATACGTAGCCATAATTTAATGGCTATCTTTTCTCCATCATCTTCTTCTGCCAATTCTACCCGTACCCCTGTTTCCTCCTGGAAGAAGGCATGGTTCAAAAGGTCTTTGATAGAATATCTTCCAAAGAGAGGGAAATGAAACAAAAACAAAACAAAATGACATTAGATTGAAAACATAATTGTCAAGTGTGGCTGATTACTGTTATGCTTGGAATAATAAAGACTGTAAAAAAAAAAACAAAGGAAAGTTTATAACTCATTTCTACATTGCTCCATGTGAACAGTGATTATAGTTTTACTCTCAAGTTATACAACATCATTTATAAGTAAGAGCTAAAAGCGATACTTTTTAATCTAAGTTATCTAATCTCATATTAGTTAACAATGTACTAACAATGGCAAGTAATATACAGAATGTCATAGCTTCAAAATACCACATAATTTATGTAAAATTTATAGTTAACAAATACTCCTCTTATTTATGATCCCATCTGATCCTTGACCAACATCCAATGAAATATTATTTCCTGATTATTAGGAAACAAAGGCTCAGAGAGGGTGAAAATCTTGCTCATGGTTATAACCCTCAAATGGTTGAATCAAAATTTGAAAATAAGTTTTTTGATTTCTAGTTCTTTACCTTCTACTACAACTTTATTTACCACAATAAATTCTCTCAATTCCTTGTTCAACAATTTGTGTATTAGGCAAGAAGTCTGATTGTGGAATAATCTTCTTTAGATAAATGGTTTCAAAATACCAGTAATCTAGTAAACTGTACCATCCAAAAAGAAATAGAGTAATATGTTCTAAGACTGGAAACAAATACTCCTTTGTTTATAGTAAAAAAAGTTCTTAGATAAAGCACTCTCCTTTCCAAACACTGTATATAAAATTAGAAACCCAAACTAAATTTCTACTAAACAGCCTTAAAGATCATGATGTTAAGCTCTTCCAAATAACAAAGTTATGAAAAGAGTAGGAGACCGGAGAAGTGAAGATACAGAATTCTTTAATTTGGTTGATATACCTGATTGCTCACATTCTTCAGGAGGTAGATTATGCTCAACTTACAATTTATACTTTTTCTTTTTTGGAGGGTGAGGGGGGATGGTGTGGGTAGATTATTTTTCAAAAACAGACACTGGATCTTTGCCATGCCTAACGGGTGATGAATCAGCTATATGACATATCAGATATTTGCCACGCCTCTGAGAAAAGTCCTATTAGTACAAATGACTAAGCCAAATCTCCTCCTAAGCTTTGGGCAAAGTTGTCTCTTTTTACTGAAAGGAATGCTGATGTTTTGCTCTTCAAAATTATGGCACAATGACAGCAAATCAAGATGTGTAGTTGAGCTTATTTTAAAGAGCCAAGATTTTATTCCACCTTTTGGAATTCAACGGGTAAAGAATTAAGGGACAGATCTGTTGGTCAGAGAGAGACTGAACCCTACTGAGTTTTATAAATCATGCTGATGCTTTATAAGTAGTTTATGTTTTAGAAGTAGTTCTCACTGAATGCAGCAGCTATGTTTAAGGTGGTTCTGGTTCAGTTGAACTCTACCATATCACATTTTTTACAACATTTCACTCTATCAAATCTCAATACTATCTTAAATGGACAGATCTCCACTTTTTTTTTTTTTGAGATTTTAAAAAAAATTTTATTTTATTTTTTAAGTAATCTCTACACCCAACATGGGGCTTGAATTCACCACCCCAACATCAAGAGTAGCATGCTCTACTGACTGAGCTAGCCAGGCACTCCCAGAACTCTACTTTTAAAGATATTACATGACATAAATAGAGAAATTAATCACAAGTAAAGTATTGAATACACTTCAGATTGAGTATTGTATTTAGCAAATATCATTACATTTTAGGTTTTTAAGCAACACCTAAGTCAAAAGTGGCAACTTACCTTTCATCTTTGTTTTGCCGTATGCATCCTTCAATAATTTCCTTCACTTCAGGAATTGCTACTTTGTCAAAACTGGCTGGCTTCACTCCCTGAGAAACATAAAAACAGGAACAAAAACACATTAAAAAGGCAGGTTCTTTGAACTTTGATTTTGAATTGCCTCTTAAGGTTCTATTAGATTGGCTTCTCACCATCCTGGCTTTTTTCTGATTTGCCTACAGGAGCTGGTCCATTGCAGGGTCAGAGTTGGGTAGTAGCAATTTAGCTCCCACAAGAAAACAACAAGAAATAGCGCACTTACTTCCATGGCCTCCATATGTAGGTAAGGAAAAACTGAGGCTGTTGTCAATATCTTCTGCTGTGTTTCAGGTAAAGGAAGTTACTGGCTAAAGAGAAGGGCCAAATGTTCTAAAAGGTTAGATCTTTTGTGCAGCCTTGTTCCCTAACATATTAATCAACACAGTATTTAACAGTGAATCCATGAATGGGCATGAATTCATATGCTTAGTTTGGCAGGTATTCTATTATCATAGTACTCTAACAACCTCAACAAGTATAGGAGTTAAGGATTTGGATTGGTTTAGCTTGATAACAGAAGAACAAATTGTCTTGTACATATGAAACATAAAATGAAAAGTGATATATCAGATCCATATAAAAGACAAGATTTCTAATTAATTTCAGAAGAAATCTCAATACCACTATTATATGTAATACTATGTAGTATCCTAGGAGTATTTTAGAATCTTCGTAACGTGTAAATTTTTTGCAAATAAAAATTTCAGCAATGTGTGGAAAATATACGTAAGATGTAACAAAATACTCCTAAAAGGTGATATGGAGAAAACATCTCATTTTCTCTTCCCATCTTGTCTAAGTAACCACATGGATTGATGCAGCTGCACTAATATACTGCCCAAGTGGCACTGTAAGTCTCTAAACACATAAAACACAGGGAACGGAAAATAAGGGAGAGGGACTAGAAAAGTTAGAATATAGTACATAAAGTTTAATCATCTATAGTCTCAGTGACAAGACAGATTAAAACAGAATTAATGATAATAATTTGATAAATCACAGGAATGCATGTAACTTCTCATAGACTGAAATGAAATGCATCAAATGATTAGCACTAAAAAGTCTTTAAATATTGGAGTTGTGATGGGATAATTCTCATCAATTACTCAACTGCATTATTCAAAACTCCTGATTTGGAGGAGTCTACCTCTATCTCTGGGGCTAACTTTCTACACCAAGGAAGTGTCAGTAGGGCTGACCCTAAAGTTAAATCCATGCATTTAAAAAGGTTAGTTTCTAAGTACTGACTAAAAGGTCACAATCTTCCTCAATCTTCTTATTTTTCAAATCCAGTTAAATTTTCCCAACTGGTCTTTGTCTTCATATAATAATTCTAATGAGAACAAGAAAATAATGCTGCTGAAGCAAAAAGCTGCTTTAATTGAGCAAGCTGGTATGGTATTTCAAACTAAGGCTTTAGAAAATAGGAACTGTTTTAAGAAAAAAAATGGATGACGTACTCTGAAAGTTCTCTGGTAGTAGAAACACTGGAGATTTTTTGTTTGTTTTTAATATTCTACAATAAACATGTAAAACTGTATAAAAGAAACTTTAAAGATGCTATTTATAAACATAATGTGAAGAACAACCTAAAATACTTTATATTGTTTGTAGAACATTCACTATTGACAGAAAATAATCTAAAAGAATGTTCTTTGGTAAAATTAGACACTTAATATTTATTTGGCCTTTGCATGTAAAGACAATTCAAATATTACAGGAAAATGGCTAAAGAAAATATAGAATATGATTAGGAGAAATGGTTCTTCTATAAACATATATATTTTAGGGGTATGTAGTTTGGTCTTCGGGCAGTAAAACTACATATTAATAAGACACACATGCACTGATTATATTAGAAGACTCTTCTGTTCCAATTTAGCACAGGCATCTTGGAAAGATGATTTCAGATTCCTTGTCTAGCAAATAGGGATAATATCTGTACAACTTACCATCCTATATTCACAGCAGCTAGAATCAGATGTAGTATCTAGATTGAAAACTCTCTGAATTAAGTTTGCTGACCCAAGGTCACTTTTGAATTCAGAGGCAATTACCAAAGATAATAAAGCTTAGGGTTAAAAGGCAGCAAAGAATTCTCTTGAAAAATAATCAACTAAGATCTATAGTGAACCTACTTTCATCCTTGGTTACCCTTAAAAATAAGTAATACTCATGTTAATCCTACCCATGCAAACATATTCACATTCACTACTCTACAAATAGGAATTCCTACTTACAAATAGAAATAACTAGCTGAATAAATGAGCTATATAATATCATAATAGCAAAACCAGCAACTGTGAATCATGTAACACCTTGAATCTACTAGGTTAAGCTGCTTTCTCAACCTATTCAAGATTTAAATATAGAAAATTCCATACCAATGCTATATAACATTGTGATACCACTGCCAACTTAAAAAACGTATTACAGGTGTCAAGGCAGCCAATAAAACTGAGACATAACTTACCAGCAGCTGGTATTAAAAGATTAATGCAGCTTACTGTTACCCACTTAGATAACGAAAAAGGTAGAAGAAATTTCAGCTACCAGTCAGCTACCATCAAGAAGCCAGGATTATCAAAATATCTAGCAGAAGTATTCTGAATCATTTGAGAAGAATATATGGGGACTGTATACTGTAAATGACCCCCAAAATGTAAAAATGAGCATGAAACCTCACTAACCCTGAAAGTGACCTACAGAAAAGTCATCTGGGACATATAATAAAAAGCCGCTTAAAAAAAAACAGAGGCGCCTGGGTGGCTCACTCATTAGGCGGCTGCCTTCGGCTCAGGTCATGATCCCAGGGTCCTGGGATCGAGCCCCACATCGGGCTCCCTGCTCCGCAGGAAGCCTGCTTCTCCCTCTCCCACTCTCCCTGCTTGTGTTCCCTCTCTTGCTGTGTCTCTCTCTGTCAAATAAATAAATAAAATCTTTAAAAAAATTAAAAATAAAAATAAACAAGTACAGGTTTTGACACATTCATCATACTTATAGGCTTCTTAAGAAATGAAAGAACTCAATATATTTAAAAGTATTTTTGGTAACTGATAATTTTTTAAGTTAAAAAATGATCTAGATTACTCTAAAACATGATTTTAAGTACCAGACAGAACAAAGTAATGATGAGAAAGTATTTTGGTAATATAAAATTTTGTCTTCATCTGTTTCCCTTTTAGTTCATATACTTCAACAAAGACAATCAACTTAGAGCCTTTAAATAATGTCACCTCTTTCCTTTACTTCCTGATTTGACCCGACTAAGTACTATTCTAGTCCAGTTTTGACTAGTAAAGGCAGTTCTGCTCACTTGTTCTGAATGAGATTTAAAAACACAAAACAGAAGAAAAGAGTACTAAGGTAGATAAATTGGGCTAGTATTTTACACATAAGAAAAATCTGGTTAGAGGCATACCCTCTTACTCCATTCTTCTAGAGCCAGCAACTCACTGGCTCTAGAAATATTCTTGCTTACTTTTGTAATTCACAAGATCTCTCTAGGCAAATACTGCTATGTTGTGTTTTTTTGACATGGGAGAGTAGCATGTTTCCCTGCATTAAACAAAAGTACTTCTTGAGCATCTAATGTATATCCATTTACTTCAGAGTTTATACAAAATTATGTATTGTTTTAAAACAAAAACAAAGGCCACTTGTGTACAATTTTAGAGTAGAAAGAAAGAAAGGAAGGAAGGAAGGAAGGAAGGAAGGAAGGAAGGAAGGAAACAATTGTGATTCCCCCCAAAGTCACATTAAGAGTTGATATAAATATTTATAAAATGATTTGAACTAAGAAAAATGAAAAAGACATACATGCATTTTATAGACTTAGTTTTTCTTTTAATTCTATATACTTATAGCTTGCCAACTAATCTGCTGGAAAAATAAAAGTGAGTCATAATATAATATTCTCTGGTTCAATATTCTAGCTCTTAAAACTGTCAGCATTTGCTTCTTAAAAGCTCAGGTTTCAAATGTGTTAGGGTAACATTTATCTATACTTTCATAAAAGTAAAATCTTTCCTCACCATTTAGAATTGAGAAAAGCCTCCTTCTTCCTCATACAAAATGTAGTGGAAATTAACCACAAAAATTCAAGTATTTTAAAAAACATTCTAAAGTAAACAATTTAATATTGCTACATATATTACCAAATGGCTACAATATACCTTTTATATGTATCAGAAATTCTTACCTACCTCGATTACACAATCCTTCTGAGGGCAGCAGCAGCAATGAGAATTTATGATGACAAACACTGAGCAAAAGTCTTTCTTTGTAAAATCCATCACAAAAGGCAAAACAGACTTGTTACAGTTAGAGGAAAAGGGAGGAAATTGGTAAGATGGAAATTAACAGTAAATTAGCCTACAGCATAAGCAAGGCAGACATCAAAGTCAGACTGAAGCATAGCTTCTTGTTTAACACTAGCCATGCTTCTCCAACTCTCAGACATGAGTTTAACTCTGCTCAGCCAATAATCTACTTATGCTAGATTGGCCCTTTAAACAAGCCTACATGCTGAACAGCAGGGAAATTGTTCTGTTACTGCTCCTCCTGTCTTTCCTCCAAAAGCAACAGATCTCCGAACAAGCAAAACGAGATTTTTACTTGGTCAAAGCTCCACCCATTATGTCCACAGGTTCTGCCTCCTTGACATCAAAACCCACACTAGAAATCTATTTATCTAAACACTCCCTCACCCCTATCATGTTGGAACTATGCTTTTAAAAGAAAATGGCTCAACAACCAAAATGTAAACTCTGAATATGCAGCCAAAAGAACACTGTCCAAAGAAATCACAATACCAGATTTGGGTTCTCAGGTCTACTTCTCATATACCAAGTGTGTGTGTGCAACCTGGGCCACATCCCTTAAACTCGCTTGAAAACTGCGCGTAAGAGCTTACCTAAATTACCTAATTTAAATATTTACCTACTTTAAAAAGGTGATATTAAAGCCTTACTACTCTCTCATGGTACATCAAAAAAAATAAACAGCTGTG